GCCCTCCACCTCCTCCAGAACTTCCAATTCCCCGGTCCCCAACACCTCATCTTTACCATGGACGTCCAGTCCCGATACACCTGCATTCCCCATACAGATGGCCTCAAGGCCCTCTGCTTCTTCCTGTCCCGCAGGCCCGACCAGTCCCCCTCCACTGACACCCTCATCCGCTTAGCCGAACTCGTCCTCACCCTCAACAACTTCTCTTTCAATTCCTCCCACTTCCTACAGACAAAGGGGGTGGCCATGGGTACCCGCATAGGCCCAAGCTATGCCTGCCTCTTTGTAGGTTACGTGGAACAATCCCTCTTCCGTACCTACACTGGCCCTAAAACCCACCTCTTCCTCCATTACATTGATGACTGTATCGGCGCCGCCTCGTGCTCCCACGAGGAGCTCGAACAGTTCATCCACTTCACCAACACCTTCCACCCCAAACTTAAATACCTCTCTAATACCTCTCTCCCCTTCCTGGACCTCTCTGTCTCCATCTCGGGCAACCACCTAGAAACCGATATTCATTTCAAGCCCACCGACTCCCACAGTTACCTAGAATACTCCTCCTCCCACCCACCTTCCTGCAAAAATGCTATCCCCTATTCCCAATTCCTTCGCCTCCGCTGCATCTGCTCCCAGGATGAGGCATTCCACTCCCGTACATCTCAGTTGTCCTCGTTTTTCAAGGACCGTAACTTTCCCACCTCAATGGTCGAGAACGCCCTCAACCGTGTCTCCCACATCTCCCGCAACTCATCCCTCACACGCCGTCCACGCGATAAAACTAAAAAAGAATCCCCCTCGTCCTCACGTACCACCCGACCAACCTCCGGATCCAATGCATCATCCTCCGACACTTACGCCATCTGCAATCCGACCCCACCACCAAAGACATCTTTCCGTCCCCACCCTTATCTGCTTTCCGGAGGGACCACTCTCTCCGTGACTCCCTTGTCCGCTCCACATTCCCCTCCAGCCCCACCACACCCGGCACTTTTCCCTGCAACCGCAGGAAGTGCTACACCTGCCCCCATACCTCCTCCCTCACCCCCATCCCAGGCCCCAAGAAGACTTTCCACATCAAGCAGATGTTCACCTGCACATCTGCCAATGTGGTATACTGCATCCGCTGTACCCGGTGTGGCTTCCTCTACATTGGGGAAACCAAGCGGAGGCTCGGGGACCGCTTTGCAGAACACCTACGCTCGGTTCTCAATAAACAACTGCACCTCCCAGTCGCGAACCATTTCAACTTCACCTCCCATTCCTCAGACAACATGTCCATCCTGGGCCTCCTGCAGTGCCACAACGATGCCACCCGAAGGTTGCAGGAACAGCAACTTATATTCCGCTTGGGAACCCTGCAGCCCAATGGGATCAACGTGGATTTCACAAGCTTCAAAATCTCCCCTCCCACTACCGCATCCCAAAACCATTCTAGCTTGTCCCCGCCTCCCTAACCTGTTCTTCCTCCCACCTATCCCCTCCTCCCACCTCAAGCCGCACCCCCATCTCCTACCTACTAACCTCATCCCGTTCCCTTGACCTGTCCATCCTCCCTGGACTTACCTATCCCCTCCCTAACTCCCAACCTACACTCACCTTTACTGGCTCCATCCCCGCCTCTTCGACGTGTTTGTTTCCTCTCCACCTATCCTCTCCTCTATCCATCTTCTATCCGCCTCCCACTCTCTCCCTATTTATTTCAGAACCCCCTTCCCCTCCCCCTTTTCTGATGGAGGGTCTAGGCCCAAAACGTCAGCCTTTCTGCTCCTATGATGCTGCTTGGCCTGCTGTGTTCATCCAGCCCTGCACCTTGTTGTCTCGGATTCTCCAGCATCTGCAGTTCCTACTATCTCTGACATTTCTCATGTCCACTTTCATGTATTTTCCTTGGAATCCTTGTTTCTCTATTGATCAAGAATCTATCCATCGCAGCCATAAACATACACAAGGCTCTGCACACCCCACCACCCCCCACTGCTCTCTGTGGCAAGGGGTTCCAAAGACTTTAACCCTCAGAGAAAAAAAAAATCCTTCTCATCTCAGTCTTAAATTTGCACTCTTTTATTCTGAGACTATACCCTCTAGTTCTAGACTCTCCCATGAGGAGAAACATCGTCTCAGTGTTTACCCTGTCAAGCCCCTTAAGAATCCTATATGTTTCAATGAGATCATCTCACATTTTTCTAAACTAAACTGCGTAGATTCCCAACATGTTTAGCTATTGCTCATAGGACAATCCTTCCATAATAGGGATCATCCTCGTGCGCCTTCTCTGAACTGCTTCCAATGAAATGTTATCTTTCCTTAAACAAGGGAACAATAACTGCTCACCGTACTCCAGAAATATTCTAACCAGCATCTTGTACAGTCGCAGTAAGACTTCCCTACTTTTATACTCCAACCCCTATTGAAATAAGGGTCAACATTCCATTAGCTTTCTTGGTTACCCGTTGTACCTGTTTGCTAGCTTTCTGTGTTTCATGCACAAGTACCTCAAGTCCCTTTGCGTTGCAGCTTTCTGCAGTTTTTCTCCAGCACAGGCTATTTAAAAACTAAACTGTATGAAACTTAATTTTTTTTTAAACAGTGTAATTAACAGCAAAGCGTCTTTTCTTCAAGACACTCATACATACTGATTCGTTCTCGAGGTGTTTTTGTATTGAAAACCGACTGTGTATTGTGTATGTTGATGGAAGGTTCCAGAAAAGCTACAGGCATGGCTGCTGCAAGTGTAGCGAGACACTCTCCAAGAACTGGCCGCTGTCTATGACATAAGACAGAAAAAGAAACAGTAAAACCATCTTGATGTCAAATAAAGGGAATACAATTAAAAGAATACATGGGTATTCCAGCATTTACAGTTATTACAGCTGAACACAAGACAGGGAGATCACAGTTCACAATATAATAACAAAAAGTTTGCAACTTGAATTGTAAACCCTATACAGGAACATTATAAAGCAAAGAGATAGCATCAGGGATAAGAGAAGCTACCTTCAGAAGCCATTATTGGACCAGAGAGGTTGAAGGAATGATTTGATATGGTTCATCAAGATTATGAAGAATTATGGTGGATAATTAGTGACATAGTATCTTTTTCTAGTAGTAGATAAGATAGTGGATTAAAGACGAACAGTAAAAAGAAGAGAGATTAGAAAAACAATTTTTTACACAGATGGTGGTTAACATGAATGAGATAGTTGCTTGACAGTGAGGAATGTTAAGCAGTAGGGGGAGCACACAGGCATCCAGAATTAGGCTTGGGTCTCGGTGGGTGCATTACTGGCATGGGCCTGACAAATGAAAAGAGCTGTTTGAATGCCATTTTATGATTTAAAAGAAAATATATAATTGGCACATTAGACAAATTACACCTGTCATCATTAACATTAACTCAAGAGTACCGAGTTTCATTGGTAGCTTTCAAATCAAGCCTGGTTTTGTAAAGAAAGGTAGTAACTTGTGTGGAGATATAATTTGGGTAGAAACATTACAATGCAGTTAATCCCAATGATGTTTCTGCCATAGAAGTTCCTATCCCAAATTCCTACTTTCCTAATGCAGGGAAGGTCTTTGTGCTCACAGCAAAAAGTCTCTTTTACAGCCGCTGTATATTTTGTAGCTTTACCACAACTCCTGTATAAAAATTGCAATCTGGTTTCCAAGGAAATGGTGAATAGAGATAAAACAGCAGTAAAATGGAAGAAGTTAAATATAACATGCTTTGAGATTTAGAGTCAGAATTTTTGCAGAGAGAAACAGGCCCTTTGGCTCACCATGTCCATGCCAATCATCAAACATTCTACTCTCCTTTTCTAGTACTTGGCCTGCAACCTTGTACTCTATGATGTTTCATGTATTTAAATAAATAGTTCTTAAATGTCTTGAGGGTTCCCACCCCCACCATTGTTTTAGGCAGTGAGTATTAAACTGCTACCACTCTGTCTTTCTCTGAAATCCCCTCTCAAGGCTCCTGCTCGTTATTTTGAAACTGTGCCCCCTCATTACTAACCCCTGTACTAAGTCGAAAGGTTTCTCCTGTCTACCTTGTCTTTGCCCTTCAGAATTTTGGATACCTCAATCAGTTTCACACTCAGCCTTCTCTGGCCCAAGGGAAACAATTCTAGCCTATCTGGTTTCTCTTCATAGCTGATTCACTCCAGCCCAAGCAACATTCTGGTAAACTTTTTGTGCACCCTCTGTAATATAGAAGTATTCTTCCTGTAGAGCGGTGACCAGAATGGCACACGGTATTCCTGCTGTGACCAAACAACTATTGTACACAGCTCCATCATAACCTCCTTGCTCTTGTATTCAATGCCTTGCCTAACAAAAGCAAGTATCCTATACGCTGTGTTAACTCCTTATCTACCTGTCCTGATGCCTTCAAGGATCTATAGGCTTCTTACCCTGTCTGCCATGCAGACATTGTCAAAGGCCTTAATGAAGCCCACGTAGTCTACAACCACAATGTGACTCTCGCCTACACACCAAATCACTTCCTTGAAAAATTCAAATTTGTTCGACGTGATCTCCCTCTGACAAAGCTATACTCACTATCCTTGACAAATCCTTACCTTTCCAAGTGGAAATTAATTCTGTTCCTCTGAATTTTTTTCCAATAGCTCCCCTGCTCAGTTGTTAGAGTCATTGGCCTGTACTTTATCCTGACCACCTTTCTTGTACCATATTTAGTGCCATTCAGTCCTCTGGCACCCTTTATGTGGTCAGAAAGGATTTGTAAGTTAATATCAGAGCCTCTGAAATCTCCTCCCTGGGAGGATCGTTACTGGACCTGGGGATTTATTCACTTTCAAACCTGCTAAAACAACTAATACATCTTCTCTCTCAATGCTAATTCATTCAAGTATATTACAAGAACCCTCTCTGATTTCTACGTCCACATCATGCTTTTCTACAGTAAATACAGATGCAAAGTATTCATTTAAAACTTCAGCTATGTCATTCAGCTAGAGACATAGATTGCCACTTTGGTCTCTAAACAGCCCTACTCTTTCCCTGTTTTGTTTTTACTTACGTACTTACAAAATGCCTTTGAATTTTCCATAATGTTACCCATCAGCATTATTTACGTTCCCTCTTGGTTCACCTATTTTGTATTTAAGCAACTCCCTGCACTTTTTGTACCCTTCTACAGTATCTACCTTTGGTATCCACCATAAGCTTCTTCTTTTTTCCTTAGCTAATCTTGTGCATACCTTAGCATCTAGGGTTCTCTGGACTTGGATGGTCTCAACACTCAACTTTACAGGAACGTGTTAGCCATGCCGTCTCACGATTAATCCTTTGAATGTCATCCACTGTTCTGATGTAGATTTTCCTGCAAGTAATTGCTCCCAGTTCACTTTGGCCATACCCTGTCTTAAAATTGGCCTTCTTCGATTCAGAACTTTCATTCCTGGCCCATCAATGACCTCATCATTAATTATCTTTAATCTTACAGAATTGTGGTCACTATCACCAAAATTCTGTCACCCTCGTATCTACAATTTGCTTGGCTTCATTTTCTAAAATTAGAGAAAAGTACTGCCTGCTCCCTTGTTAGACTTTCTATGTATTGGCTACGTCCTGGGCACATTTTAAGAATTCTACCCCCTCTAGGCCTGTTGCATTTTGTCTATTCCGGTCAATATTGGGGAGGATATTACCTTATTATTTTTACACTTCTGAGATTTGCCTACATACCTATCTTATTTTAATCTTGCCCTATATACTACATTTTCAGCAATGTAACTGCTCCCTTTAGTTTTAAATTCTATCCACATAGACTCTTTGAGGAACCTTCTAAATAATCATCTCCCCTCACTGCAGTAATTGATAGCTTGATCAATCCTACAACAGCACCTCTTCTATTACATCCCATCTCACCTATAGATTCTATACCCGAGCTGCCAGTCCTGTTCCTCTCTTAACCATGTCTCTGTAATAGCAATAATATCACATCCCCATGCTTTAATCAACACCTTCAACTGACCTGCCTTACACACAAGACATCTTGCATTAAAATTAATGCCATCCAGCCTTGCCATGCTCCCTTGAGCCTTTACTTGACTATTTTCACACTGCCTTTGCTCTTCCTCTTCAAAATACCCTGCAGCTATTTAGTGACATCCTTGACACCAGCCCAAAGGAGGCAACACACCATCCTGGAGTTATGTCTGTGGCTGCAGAAACGCCTGTCTATGACCACGACTACTGAATCGCGTACCACAATTGTTCTCCCTCCCTTTCTGCTCCCCTTGTGCAGTTAGACTCCGGCTGCACTCCCAGAGGAACCGTCATTCTCACCACTTCCAAAATCTGTTCTTGAGTGAGATGCATTCTGGGGCTTTCCTGACTACCTGCCTGCCACCCTTATTCTAACCCATGGTCATCTCTTCCCTCTCTGGCTGCACTTTCTTAAGCTTATTTACTAATAAAACCCTCCATGAACTGAGATAACTAATGGCCATCCATTTAGCAATTCCCTGTCTTCTCTGTTTAAAAAGTAAAACAAAAGGTAATGGTACAGTAAAGAAATTGACTGAGACCGATCATGATAAGTTACATAAATGGGAGATCTCTATTAAGAGCCGAGATGTTATGCCTATGGATGGAGTGTTTTTCTCAGGACCAAAGAAGGCCGAGGGTGAAGAATTTTGAAAGAATAGATGTAAGAAATATCTTATTGGGAGAATTCTAAATGTGCTCATAAAATCTAAGATAATTGCTAATGGATCTATGAAGAAATTCAGCAGATGCCTCTCCACTCAGAATTGTTAGATGTGGAACTTGCACCAAATGAAGCTATGGAGATGAATGGCGTGGATGTATTGGAGGGGAATATAGATAAATACATCAGGAAGAAGAAATGGAAGGATCTGCTAATAGAGTTAGATGAAGCAGCATAGGAGGCTTGCACAAAGCATAAATATAGCCACCAACCAGTTGGCTACTGGTTGTCTTACAGCAGATGGCAGGACTTTGCACTTCCTTTATTGATGCTAGGCAACAGGACCAGCATCCTTTGAGCATAGCTATGCCAATACTGTCAATGGCATAATGGCAGATGCACATTGTCTGACTTTACTGCTTGTCAATCTCTTTAACATCTACCATCAGGCATCATTCCAATCGGGAAATGTTGTACTTGCTGTAGTTGAATGATGATCCCCATTACTAATGTTGAATTAATTTTGTGGAACCCTTCTATATTGTGTCAGCTTATCTTATGGTAAGATTGGTGTTTGCTTTTAGTTCCATCTTGCTCATTCTGCCTATGTTATCAATGCCATGGTTAGGGGATTGATTTTGAGTATTGTTTTCTAAATTACATAGGCTGATGACAGCATGAGTACAAGCATAGACTAATTGGACAAAACGGCCTGTTTCTGTGCTGTAGATTCAATGCGATATAGAGAATGATGCCACAAAGAGAAGCCTTTGGCACCTGCATGCCCTCACTTAACTATCTGCAAGGGAAGGTTCGCTGCACTGCCTCTCAACAACAAGTTAGGAGTGCAAAGTTACGCCACTTCTTGCAAGGTTATCTGTAGTTAACTTGAACCATGTGGTAAGCAGGGTTGAGATCATCTCTTGCTTTTAACTTTCCAGGCATCATCTATAGTGTCAACTAGTACACTGTCCACAGCCACCAAATAGATACTGTTTCTTAGCCTCAGTCTTAGCAATAAATTCACCTCTTAGTGTGTTACTACTGTTATTCTGTCAAACAAGTGCAGAAGACACTAGTTCCACTGAACATCTGTTTTGACTCAACCAAGCACTTGTGATTTGTCAATATTGCATTACGTGGAAGCCAAGAGAGAGTTGGTGGTCTCCCTGCAGGAAGAGGTGTGTATGAACACAGTCAGCAGACAGAATTCCTCAATCAAATGATAGTTGGGATAATGGTAGAGTTTGAGGGCTAGCTCTGAAACCATCTGATTTCTCTAGTTTATTTGTTTTTATATCTTTATGTGGAATGCTGTGATGGCAGCAGATATTAACCTAGTCAGCACTTAATATCCGTGACAAATAGCCTGGCCGGAGAGGAGGTGTGTTGAATAGTTCAAAGTAATTGTGAACTGCTGAAGACGTGCTGATTTTAATAAAGTCTTCCTGCCTTACGATAATCTCACAACCTGCACTGGAGAAAAAAAACTTTAAGTAGAAGTTTACATGTACGAGGAAATGGTGAAGGAGTAGGATTTCAGAATAGGATACTGTAGATTTGCTGGGAGGAATTTATACTCTCATATAACATCAGTAAACAGGAATAGTCAATATATGTAAAATGGGACGTTTCATAAAATTTAACAAAGTACAATATGGTTTAAAAAAGGAAAGCTGTTACGCATTGATGGATTAACAATTAGGTAAAACCATTTGTCCTACACTGACACTATAGAGTCAAGCTGCACAGTTAGTGTAATAGTACTGCTTTGCAATCAACACTTCATTACAAAGGTACAATTAGAAAGGATGAAAAACACCTTAAATACAATAAGGTCATTGACCTGAATCACCAACTTTGTTTCTCCCTGCACAGCTACTTTTGGTAGGTCTTGTAAGCATTCTCTGAACCAGAGACTCTGGGCTCAATTGCATTCCTGGATGAGATGGCTATGGAAAGTAAGCATAATACTATTACTAAAATATGCTAAGAGTCTCTTTAAACCTTAGCATTCCTTTGCTGCCTTCAATGATAAGGTAATTGGGAAGATAGCGATTCTGGTGATTGGAGAATAATTTAGATTGAACTGGATCTAATTGAACATCCATTTGTAGAAGCTTTACATTTCATAATCCTAAATCTGATTTAAACCATATTTGGGGTTAGAATTACCTTTCAACATAGACATTCTTCCCAGTTCCCAAGGTGTACAAGCTGCACAGGATTCGATAACATGACACTTGAACATCATCCACTGCAAACAGAACAGATCTGAGTTTACATTCTCCAGCAAGCAATCTCTTATCACATTTAAAAGTGAAGAAAATTTTGATCAAATAACAAAACAAACCACAAGTTCAATACTGATCCAGCCATCCTGATTTCATAGCATATTCCATTTTAGTTACAGCTCTGAAGTATCATTGTCGGTCTCAGTTCGTGTGGTAACTGTACTCATCCTGTTTTCACTAACTCAATGCACTCATTATGTCAGGAACTAAAACAAAGAGAGGCTGCCTGTGCCTTCGTTGGTGAATAGAACTCTAAGATATTTTTGTTTACTGTCCAAGATAGTGCAGACCAAATGGAGCAGCTACAAAAATGCAGCACAAGAACAAAAAATATTGAAGACACTTGTAGCTGGCCAGGCAACATCCACGGGGATATCTATACAGATATCCGATGGATAAGCGTTTAAAACATGGACCCTTCTTCATTCCTGCCTGAGGTATAGTACTAGACAAACCTAGTACTTGAGCAATTTACTATGTACTTTGCCGCATCATATTATATTCCAATAGGATCATAGGAACATACACTTTTCTTTATGGACCAAATGTTTGGCTTCACCTGGGAGAAAAAGGAGCATGGCTGCTGTGGGGACCTTTTGCAACCACCACAAAACTTTTTGGATTTTTCTATCAGTGATGGCAATGAAAATGAAACCTGGCAATTTCTGTTCTGGGCATGCAATCCTCGCTACTACACTTTCCTCTATTTGTGCTCCATCTAGATTCCTAGGCAACAGTCATGAAAATATATTCTACAGATTTGAGGAATTTTCTAGCACAAAAGGAGGCCATCATGGGTTAGTGCTATAGGTGGTGGGATAGGAGAGGGAGCACTGTTAAAAGTCTATCCATTTCCTCCTATTTTCTTGGTTGTTGCTGATAGATGAGACATTTGTTAAAGACTTCCATCTGCCACTCGTCAGGACATAAATAAGAATCCCAAACTAGAAAGGGTGCTGATTTGTCTACATCTAGAAGAGATTCTGTGAATGGACAACACTTGCTGAACAATCCCAATTGCACCAACAGCTACTGTAATGACCATTTTAAGACAGTCATTTATGGAAATGACATGCATTTTTTTTCAGAGGTTCTTTCCCAGCTCATAAAAGGAATACATTCAAGAGTCTATAGCTCTGAGGCTGGAAAAACACAGCAGGTCAGACAGCATCAGAGGAACAGGAAAGTCAGTGGGTCAGTCCTGACGAAAGGTTTCAGTCTGAAACGTTGACTTTCCTGCTCTTCTGCTGCTGTCTGACCTGCTGGCTTTTCCAGCCTCAGGCCTATAGACTCTGGCTTCCAGCATCTGCAGTTCTTATCCCCAAGCCTTGTCCCTATACTAAATTACCAGGCAGTCGCCGGTTCCCTGTTGCTTTCTCTTTGGAAAGCCTTCAACCAATCACAGTCAACTTACCAACAAATCAACACTCTTTGCTCCTACAGTATACATTTTTGTGACTATTTAAAATTCAGCATTCTTGGATTTGTCATAATGAGTGAGCTTCAGTTTCTCATCTCTCATTTCAGCACTATTCAAGTTCTGTAGTGCAAAGTAACCTTTTTTTTAACATGGCCTTTCAACAAAACTATTTAAAAACTTAATTTCTAAGTGTTTAACCACCTCACTTCAACAAGTTCTCCTTTACCTATCTTTTTGGGAGGGTATTCCATGTTTAAGACCTTAATGTGTAAAAATAAATATGCATAACTTTTAATTTAAAACATTTTCATTATCTATTTTATCATGATTCTTTTTAATTTTAAATGCTTACAGATCGCTTCTTATAATGAAAGAGTTTTAGTTTTTCTAGTTCGTTTTCCCTCATGATATCTTGTGTCTTTCCATCTGTAGTCTTTGCATCTTTCCGAGAGGCTGCAGTCCAATTCGGAACACAAGGAGCCAAAATTTGTTGTAAAACCACATTCGTGTGAATGTTCGCTAATTATATGCATGCAAATCAGACAGCAACTTGCAGTGAGGAGGAAATAGCTAGTCAACTGCAAATCAATAAAACTTTCTGGATAATTCATCCATAGCTTCGTAAAATAGGATCTTGCCTTTAATCACGTCTGCAGTTTAATTAAACTGCTGCATGAAGCTGCAAAATTAAGTCTAAAAAAGCGCAAGTATTCTTTTAACAATATGACTATGATTATCAATTATGATTGTCAATTGATCTCTCTACTTCTGAAAGTGGACAATAAAATACGGAACCTCAATCTTTTAGAAAGTGATGCTGAAGAATTTAAAATGATTTACATTTGTGCTTACTTAATTTCTGTTTCTCTCTCTTTCTTAACCCAATCTTTCCTTCCTGTTTTATTCCCTTGAAAGTACCAGATTAGACTCTAATTCAACCACTTCTTCAGTACTTCCTCAAGTTATTTCTTAATTCTTAAATGTCATTAAGGAGATGTACTTCCTCAAGTTCTGATGAAACTTCTACTCTTTCTCTCTCCATTGAAGTTGGCTGAACTGCTCAGTCCTTTCAGCATTTCCTGTTTTCATTTCAGATCTCCAGTGTCTGCAGTATTTTACTATTATGGGGCTGCTGATCATATCATTCACCAAGATCCCAGATAATCAATGGTCCTTATTATGCTATTACCAGCTTCTGGAAACTTACAGAACAAAATACCTTTGAACTGAAGGGTGAAGGGAAAAGTCTAAGTAACCAGGTGCATCTTTTCCAGCAAATTCTGCTAAATTATTCAAGCCATAATCCATTTCAGATTTTGCCCACTACAGTTACAAATAAGGTAATGAGTCAGAGTAATGTGTTGAGTCAGAGTAAAGTGTTCATAGTCCAGACAATGATGAAGTTTATAGCAGTATTCAATTTTGATTACTCACAGATAATATCGACTCCAAATTGATGTTGACTAATGTGGTCAAAGATTGAAGTCAGCACAGGTAACAGAGCGACGGTTGTGTAATTGATGTTCTGGGTAACTCCCTTGAGTTGAGATCGTGAATGTGTGAACTTTCCGAGTTTCAGATTTTCTAGTGTTTTTTCCAGATCTTCTGCTGCATTTTCAAAGAAGGATCGGAGGCCAGCTTTCACCAGCTCTGATCCAGACTTCATAACAGTTCTAAAGGGCACAATTGTGGGAAATTGCATAACTCCAGCCAAAGGGTTCAACAACCATCATTCAAAATGATGAATACTGAAATGGCGACATAAAGAAGTGACAGAATTACCTTGGGTCCAGTGTCCGTGCCAAGATGTGTAAACAGTTTACCATTGTACCAGAGTCACTGCCTTTAGAGATGAGAAATGAAATACACGAGAACATCAATCCATTACAATGTTGAGTTATGCAAACATAATTAACGTTGATTAATTTATGTAAATAATGTTGATGCCATAGACAGCAAAGAGATATTCAACTGCAAAGGAACTGGGCACATAGTTGGGAGAGCAGCTGCACATTTCATCAAAGAAGGCATTAGAAAACCCCAGTCTGTGTTAGGTTTGGGTCTTATTCAAATGTCACTTAAGTGAGCTGTATTAGTTCATTATGTCTTGGATTTGTCTCCTCAGTGCTGCCTTGGAATAAGCGGAGGAGCTCACAACCCGAACAGCTCATCTCATGATCCCATTGGTAGGGTCGCAATTCATGGTTTAGGAACCCCAGAGTTAAAGTGCTACCCTAGTATAGCTTGCTGGATATTGCAGTACAGGAACTAGACCTGATACCGATCTGTCCAAGTCATATTGTTCCCAGGCAGGTCTGTCTGGAAAGTGTAATGCAAACAACACTTGCTGAATAGGTAGAAATGTTAAGTGAGTGGGCAAAACCTTGGCTGATGGAATACAATGTAGGAAAACATGAGATTATTCACTTTCAGAAGGGTGAAGCAACTAAATATTATTTAATTGGAGAAAGACTGCAGAAGGTTGCAGCAGAGAGAGATTTTAGGGGTTCTTATGCATGAATTACAACAAGCTAACATCCAAGTTCAGGAAATAATAGGGAAAGCAAATAGACTGTTAGCCTTTATTTCAAAGGGGCAGAAATATAAAAATAGGGAGATCTGGCAAAAATTGTACAGAGTACCAGTCAGACCACCGCTGAAATATTGTGAACAGGCTTGGTTCTCTAACTAAGAAAAACAAAGCAGTTGTATTCGAGGCAGCCCAATACAAATTTGTAGATGACATAAAACTAAGTGGAAATGTGTGTTGTGACAAAGATGTAAAGCGGCTTTAAAAGGATTTGCACAGACTTGGTGAGTGAACAAGAACATGGCAGATGAAAACGTAACGTAGAAAAAGTGTGAGGTTATGCACTTTGCCGGAGAAACAGATGTGCAGAGTATTTCTTATGAGAAGTTGGAAAGTGTACATGTACAAAGGGTGTCCTTGTCAATAACCTACTAAAGACTAACATGCTGGGGAAGCATGTTATTAGGAAGGCTAATAGAATGTAAGTCTTTATTACAAAAGGGTTTGAGTACAGGAGCAGTGAAGTCCTGTTTCAATTGTAGACAAGTTTGGTTAGACTGCAAATGGAGTACTGTGTGCAGTTTTGGTCTCCTTATCTCGGGAAAGATATTATTGCTATAGAGGGAGTATGACAAAGATTCACTAGACTTGTTTCTATGATGGTGGGACTGTCTTTTGAAGAGAAATTGGCAAACTGGGCCCATATTCTGTAGAGTTCCGAAGAATGAGAGGTGATCTAATTGAAACTTGCAAAACACTGAAAGGAAGAGACAGGTGGGTGAAGGTCAGATGTTTCCACTGGAAGGGGAGTCTAGAACCAGTACATACAATTTAAAAATAAATGAGATGCCAACTTAGGTCTGAGGTGTGGAGAATTATTTTTAACTCGGAAGGTTGAGAGTTTTTGGAATGCTCAACTACAGGGAGCTGCAGAAGCTCAGTCTTTGAGAATGTTTAAGGTAGACATTGATAGATTTCTGATTTCCAGTAGCACATGGGATTATGGGGATAGGGTGGGTAAAAGACATTATAGTGTTTGATTAACCTTGGTCAGGCTCAACAAGTTGAATGGCCTACTCCTGTTTCCTGTGCTAATACATATGAAAGATTGGATTGGAATGACAACTTCTTTTAAAAGTTTGCTTTAAAATTAAAATCATATTTAGTTTGCAAGAAATAAATTGATGATACTATATACCTTGTAGGCTTATTGAGGTGCCAGATTCAGATTCCATGGGCACATGGAATATAAATTAATATTACTGAAAGAATTTACCAATTTCGTAGTAGCTTTCCTGCCCTTCCCACCATCTCTACAGGCATTAAACCCACTACTAAATTCATGAGGTCTTTTCTTCAGGAATTTTGCACTTGATGCATTTGACATCCATTCAACAAGTAAAGAGATTAAGGAGGTGGGAAGACTGCTTACCGAAGAGAGAGATTCTATGTCTGACGAGAGCAGCAAGTTTGCAGAAAATACTAGAACAGAACAGCAAAGAAAAGAGAAACAAAAAGTAGAAAATTATATCAATACACCCATACTGAGATGTTAACAAAATCAACAAAAATTTTAGTGAATTAAAGTTTCAACCTGAGATATTTTTAACTTGAATCTCCATAAAGTTAATTTCGGAGTAATGATATTGAAGAAAACTTTAAATACATAAAGTTCCTTAAATTTGCTTTGTTCAAATGCCAGTTAAACTTCATTTTCTCCTCCTCACAAATCAATTTTAACTGTAGTCAATATTTTCTATGCTTGAAGACTATTTTATCATCTCACAGTATTTTTATTATTTGTTCATGGGATAAGAACTTCACAGGTTAGCCCAACATTTACTGCCCATTCCTAATTGCTTTTCAGATATTACAAGTGATCTGCAGTCTTGAACTGCTGTAGCTACAGTCCCAGGATTTTGACCCAAATTTGAAAGGGCGACAGTATAGTTTTCAATGAAGATGGTCAGTGGAGTGGAGGCAAATGTGCAGGCAACCAGGCAAAGGCAAAGTCCAGTTGGCTTACCCTCTTGTTGGTTCCCTCACCACCTGCCGCAGTTCCACTGTAGCAACCATCTCCTTTGGGCCTCAGCCATCTCAACCAGTAGCGGCACTACAGAGTTATTTTTGGTGATGGACTTTGAAGGTTGAGGGCGCCTAAGGCAATTCCCTTCTGAATGGGTACTACTGTTCTGCCACCTCTGCTTGGTCTGTCCTGCCAGTGTGATGGAACATATCAAGTGATGGCGGTGCCTGGTACATTGTCTGTATTGTTCGATTCCATGGGAATAACTACGTCAGCCAGCCCACTACTATCTTCTAAAGGGTAACTGGCAATATACAGTGGGTTAGCGAGCGATACCTACATCCCAAGAGTGAAATAAAAGAATAGTCTGCGGGAGAGCTCTCATAATTACGCTGGGTTTTCCTTCCACAGTTCTGACTCAGGAGTAATGGACACTTTCACTCTCACCCTTTAAAAACATTTCCAGAGGACACTTCCAATGCCCTGTCTCTCCTATATATCCTGGAGGCATCCATCTCTGATGGTGCAATTGAAAGCCAGCCTTGGGAACCAGCCAAACTCAAACTGGGCAATGAATGCACTCCCAGTTATTAATTGAGCATTTGTAAAGAAGCACAATGGGCCTCGATGTGATACAGGTCAAGACCCAGAAATTCAGCCAATAGTGGGGTACTGGCCCCAAATCTAAAATCCAGACCCTTAACACAGTGCTTACTATACTATAGGTTTTAAACAAAATATCTTCCTACCTTACTATCATTTCCTTTTCCTTGTTGGATGCATATCCACTGCCACTCAGACTCTTGGTTGGAGAAGATAAGAAGTACATACAGTGGTTCTTAAAATATTCATCAATAGAAGGGAGCAGAATCTGGAATAGAATTTTTTTTTGAAATTTCATTTGCTGAACAATGATTTTAAATTAGATGCATTTATCCAAACTGTTTTTGGAACTGTTGGTAACTACTCCCTTGAATTTACAGTAAATTCAATTCAGATAGTACAAAACAAGCCAACTTAAGAAGCAATGTGTCATTCTCGTACTAAATTTACACAGTATTTTCCTATAGGATACTTATGTTCAGAAAAGTATCAAATAGATTTGCCTTCCATATGAAAATTGTCAATTTCTAGAGTAACTTTTCAAAGTGCATAATGAAGTCTGCTGCCTAACTGTTGCAGTTAAATCTTCATGTGGTATCCTTGAAATAGCTGACGTTGTGATAATGGATTAAATAGCATTCTTTGACGTATACTCTGCTGCATTCTGTCAATTGCATGTCATGGTGCATTTATCATAACACTTTAATTGGTTTGGTTGTTGCAGCCCAAGTCCTTGTCAGATGGTATCCTATTTTCACTAAAAACAACAAATGCTGGAGTTCTTAGTGGATCAGGCAGCATCCACACAGAGAGTGCGAGCTAATGTTTCGATGAAGAGTCATCCAGACTTGAAACGTTAGCTTGCTTTCTCTCCAAGGTTGCTGCCCGACACACTGTGATCTCTAGCATTTTCGTTTTCAGCACAGATTCCAGCATCTGCAGTAATTTGCTCCTTTGTATTTCTCCAGTCAGGCCCTGCAGCTATACGGTAAGTTTATCATTGTTGTGAATCTGAAACTGCAGATTAAGGCATGTTTGACAAGTTTAGGTGCTACCATCTGTCATAAGCTCCCTAAATCTGTTCTATGTTCTTAAATCTTTCCTTCCTGTCTAATTTTAAAAATCTCTTTGATATGTTTGCAACTGCACTGGTGATAAATTTCGCAACTTCTGCTGCGATCACTCTGCATATTCCATCCTATGTGAATAAACTTGGGGCTCTTATTACATTAAAACTACTATACAAGGGGCTGCAGTTGATGCAAGAGTACTTAAACCAGAAATGTACTGATGGGAATAATATCACCAAAGCAACAATTATTTACACCTCCTATACTGCAGCATATTATACATCAAAGACGATTTTCACAGGATCCATCTTTTATAATATACTTGAATCATTGCTTAAATCTCCACTTTTCATTTAACCATAATAGTGTAATAATCAACAAATATAAAAATAGGGTCTCTCTGCCATCATTCATCTTCACTTTCTCAGTTTAATTATCGTTCATTTTATCAATTCCCATTACATTTCCCTGATCATTTATCTTTCTTGACTGTTTTTGCTTGAAATTATATTTTTGGTCAGTGGCCAAGGTGGCAGGGTTCATGCCTACCACGAGCTGATCATATGGATGTCTGTGGTCAGTAAGATTAAACAATTAAGAACTCATAGGATGGATGCAATCTTCATTTACTGTTGTGATTCACAATGAAACACTTTAAATATATCCCTGCAGTTTGTAAAAACAGACCTAATAGTGAGAAATTGCTAAGTTACCTTTGGAAGTTAAACACTTAAAAAAAACACTTCTTTTTGTAATTTTTAGCAAAAAGTTGTGACTGGTTATTAGATTTTGACAAAACAATTTTTCAAGTCAATCTAACTATCTGGAAAAGGAAATCTCCTTTAATAAGGCTTTGGAATGTCGCTCACCTTGGCAAAAAATTTTATCTCCTGCTCATGAGGAGATTTATCTGCTTTACCACTGCTGACAATAGCCTCTGTCAATATAAACAAAGATTATTCAATCACAGCAAAACTTTAGGCAGAAACAAAATACTTGTAAATAAAGTGGAACAGATACAACTAACCTTTGAAAAATATAAACGTGTGATCAAGCACTTTCTCACTCAATAAATGTCACCGATCAGCTCAAAAGCTTTATTTATATTGAATAAAATATGTGTGAGTGTTAACAGGACTTAAAACTTCAGGCAAGAATGTAGATATGCGCTCCATAAATCTATTCCCCAAGTGGCTAGCTTTTGATCCAAGTTCTCCAATGAAGAAGCAGACGCCAGCTAAGTCCTCAGGGGGAAGGAGAAACAGGATGCAGACATCATTCAGCACATCTCCTTATTGTCAGCTACAGAGCAAAATAACCAAAGAACAGGGACCGGTTTGCCAGCATACACTCACAGCTTGCTACAATTGCACCATGGTGAAATCTGCTTATATCAGGTGGTTTCAATGAATATTGAAAGGAGGCCAATTTTCCTCAACATTTGACAACCCATTAATTAAACTGTATTCTATGATCACGATCAGCATGTTGCAGTTTAATTACAGAATCCGTAATTATAAATAAGAATCTGTCTTCCCTTGTCATTTTGTTTCAAGGGGAAATTTCATCGAGAAAACGCAAATCAAACTCAGCGACTTAAACAGAAAGCATTTCATGGCACGATAAAGGGACAGCATTGATGATTTAATAATCCACTTATTGTTTCAGTTCAATTTTATTTAGCATCTGAAACCAATTACCGGTATCATTATTGTTGTATGTTTGATATATTTGATTTGCCTTGGAGCAACACAGCAATGACAAGTCTGTAAATGTGCTGAGGTATAAGTTAATGGTTCTGAAAGGTTTAATGTTTCAGACTGTGTTAAGTTCCACATAACCTGATGATATCATGCAGTGTGGGATGAGAAATTAGGAGACTCGCTCTGGATCTCAAAGAGGACAAATCTGTTACCTATGTACCCTGATAATCTTAGTATAAAAAAGGTAAAGGCGCAATAGTCCTGCTAGACCATAGGGCTGCTCTCTCATTACAGAGAGAAGGGGAGAGAGAGAGAGAGAGAGATTGACTGTTGGTGGTTTAACCTCAAGATCATGATGGCTCAGGCGAGAGAAGAGATTGAGAAGGAGAGTCCTTCATGATAACCTCAGCTGGTGTGAGAATTGAACTTATGCTGCTGGCATCACTCTGCATGGCAAACCAACATCCAGCCAACTGAGTCTTAGTAATAATATCTATTTAGTTAATATAACTGGTACTTTATCTCTATCATGCAATTAACCACATCCTGTTAAGATAAGAGCCTCTTCGTTTTAAGATTCTGTAATGGTTGTGTGCCTCTCACCGTAAATAAAAAGGATCTTAGGCCAACTGAAGGGAAAAACTATTACATGGGCAACAAGTTTTATTATAGAGCTTTAAAATATCATTGGATACTAAAATATCCTCAATTAAACGTGGATTAGATATATCAGCATCACAGTAAAAACAGATGGGACAATTTCAACCTTCCTGCCCAATATAGAGCATGTGAATGTACAGTTCAATTCACATCCAATATTGCTAACATCAGGGGTTTGCCAATCTCACTTTAACCTGCTACAGTGAGCAGGCAATGAGCAGGCAATTTAAGATTGCACGGGTCACTTTTTTGAAAACCAATGCATGCCTGACCCTGCCTTCACTGAGAATGGCCTGGACGGGAGCCACAGAGAATAGTGAAATCACTCAGTGGGCCTGGCAGCACCAGTGGACAGCGACATAGCATTAATGGGTTGAATTGTGCTGAATCAGTAACGGTGAGTGATGGGGAAGGTGGGGATCAGGATTCAGAGGCTGAGGGGCTGAGGGAAGTTGACACGAATCATCGGAACAGCTGCCTAGTGCTGTCCCAGTTCTGGCAACGTTTTCCAGCCATTCTCAAGGGTAATTTTCTCCTGACGTTGCAACTTTTCCACATTGGACTGTCCTACATCTCACTGTTGCATTGAGAGCCCAACAATGTTGTAGAGACAGACAATTACTGGTCCATCTGTGGCTGAATTAGTTGGTGACATAAGGTGCACCATAATATTCATCATGTTTCAGCAGAAGCTGCAGAAACTCTTCTGCAGGAGTGATCCCTCCACCTGACAATTGATGACAACAGGAATAAGGAACAGGGCCTCAGTCTCATTATGTGGCCAAAAGATATTACCATCTGGGTTTGACAAGGAAAGTTTAGGCTTTTCTTAAACAGATAGGTAGTTAGATATTTTGTAATCAACCTGTTTAGAGATATTATTACACACCTCAGAGTCAGGCAGGACTTGAACCCAAATGTTTCAGCTCAGAGGCAGGGACACTAGCAACAGCAGCAGAAGATCCCTAGGTGGAAGTTTAATTTTTTTTATTACTTACATCCAGAAGTGCTCTTACACACAATGGGACTTTTTTTTTCCTATCATCAAATCACCTGTGATACCTTTTCATCTATTAATCACCACCAGAAATTACTTGTATTTTCCTATTGATTAATTTACATGCAAAGCCCATTAAGGGCAATGCACCAGTGAAACTTAAGTGAGGGCAGCTGTTAAACTTCTGAGTTTATCTGCAAGAGAAAGCTGCAAGGACCTGAATAGGGCTCTTGTGGTGCAGTAATAATGTCCCTGATTCTGAGCCAGGAGGTCTGGGTTCAAGTTCCAGCTACTCCTGAGGCATGTCATAACATATCTGAACAGGTTGATTGGGAAAAACAAAATCTGCAATGAACTTAGTACTTCATAATTTTCTGCCAGTAACTCACCAGTTTTATGTATTGCATGCAAAATATTAGAGTACAAATTTAGCACTTCATATTAGTGTAACAAATTTGTATTAGCAGTTTTCTAGAACACTTTTTAATAGTGATATGAATATTTCTGTCAAGTGTAGAATAGATTAATAGTTTGTGTTTTAAAATATAACTATTAGTATTGGAAGTGTTAATGGTGGAGAATTGGTGGTGACTAAATATTGTCTGGAATGTAGTCACATACCTAAATGTGCAATAAACTCCTGAGCTGAGTCGACACATTGTAGCACCTTTACTAAGAATTTATAAGCAAATCGCTTCTCAAAAGAGGAGGAATCCAACTCCATATCCTTTAGGCCTCTGTAAACACAAGTTCAAATTATTGAGCTATGCAACTTCTGACACTAATATTCTCAGTCATGTTTTACCGTTTCAAGCTGAAAATACTCAGGAGGCCTGGCAGCCACCAGTGGACAGCAACATAGCATTAATGGGCTGAATTGTGCTGAATCAGTGGCGGTGGATTGTGCAGAAGCTAGGAATCAGGGTTCAGAGGCCGAGGGGCTGAGGGAAGTTGGCATGAGTTGTCGGAACTGATCCCTGATGCTGTCCCAATCTGACGACGATTTCCAGGGGTCAGCTGCCATTGGATTCAGTAGCCCGCTCCAATAAAGTTGACAGATAATGCAATAGTTTAAGGCTCTTCTCCAGGGTAATTTTTCTCCTAACGTTGCAACGTTTCCACGTTGGACTGTCCTGCATCTCACTGTTGCATTGGGAGCCCAACAACGTTGTAGAGACAGACACTTGCTGGTCCATTCATGACTGAATTAGTTGGTGACATAAGGGGCACCATAATATTCAACATGTTTCAGTAGAAGCCGCAGAAACTCTTCTGCAGGAGTGATCCCTCCACTATTATCCAAGGGTTAATGTTTAAAACTACATCAAAATAACTTTTATATTTAAAACAAATTGATGTAACACCACAAGATTTTACTTTTCTTTAATGAAATACAAACTTATATATACAAAAATTAAATAATGAACATACTATTAACTTAACGATATGTTTATAACCATCTATATTATGCACTTAGGTTTACCTTCTACTTCCCCCCAAGGATTCTCTTATAGACATGTTAACCTTAAAAGTGATTAACTTCTATAGGGGCTACCTATAATTAAACTACAGTCCTTTGGAGAAATGTTTTCTCAACTCTAGCTATTCTCAGGTTTAAAACTCGTTTTCCCTCTCTTGACTGTGGAGGTCTCCGTTCCTTATTCTCAATACTTTTCCAATAGTTCCATCGTTACTTTACTGGTTACTTTATTTTGCAGTAAGACCCTATGAGGTCTAATTGTAGATTCTTCCACTAACATCAATCTAGGCAATCTTCCAGCTTCCGTTCCTTAAAAGATTCAAACTAAGACTAAGCCTCATCCATCCTGCATGATGAAGTTGGTGTTTTACTCTGTTTTACAGCATAGGTCTGTCTAACTGCCACTTAATATGACTAAGCTCCTTCTGTGAGCTACAAACCACATTTGGTCCAAAGTGCAACTCAGACCCTCTCCCAGGGAGAGAGAAAATAATCAGTCAAATTGAGTGCCTTCCTAAACTGCACCCATCTTGATGGTGTAGAGTGCTGTGGGCTATTCTTATACTGACCTTTAGGTTAATTCCTCCTAATTTACAATTTCTTCTTTGATCTGATCGAATTAAATGCATTTTTCACTTTGTCCAGGTTTACTGACTATTTATAATCCAATTTAACTCCCAAACAGTTCTTTGAGAAGGTGACCAAACAGGTGGATGAGGGTAAAGCGGTTGATGTGGTGTATATGGATTTCAGTAAAGCGTTTGATAAGGTTCCCCATGGTAGGCTATTGCAGAAAATACGGAGGCATGGGATTGAGGGTGATTTAGCGGTTTGGATCAGAAATTGGCTAGCTGTAAGAAGACAGAGGGTGGTGGTTGATGGGAAATGTTCATCCTGGAGTTCAGTTACTAGTGGTGTACCTGAAGGATCTGTTTTGGGGCCACTGCTGTTTGTCATTTTTATAAATGACCTGGATGAGGGCGTAGAAGGATGGGTTAGTAAATTTGCGGATGACACCAAAGTTGGTGGAGTTGTGGATAGTGCGGAAGGATGTTGCAGGTTACAGAGGGACATAGATAAGCTGCAGAGCTGGGCTGAGAGGTGGCAAATGGAGTTTAATGCGGAAAAGTGTGAGGTGATTCACTTTGGAAGGAGTAACAGGAATACAGAGTACTGGGCTAATGGTAAGATTCTTGGTAGTGTGGATGAGCAGAAAGATCTCGGTGTCCATGTGCATAGATCACTGAAAGTTGCCACCCAGGTTGATAGCGTTGTTAAGAAGGCGTACGGTATGTTAGGTTTATTGGTAGAGGGATTGAGTTTCGGAGCCATGAGCTATACAAAACTCTGGTGCGGCCGCACTTGGAGTATTGCGTACAGTTCTGGTCACCGCATTATAGGAAGGATGTGGAAGCATTGGAAAGGGTGCAGAGGAGATTTACCAGGATGTTGCCTGGTATGGAGGGAAGGTCTTATGAGGAAAGGCTGAGGGTCTTGAGGCTGTTTTCATTAGAGAGAAGGTGGTTAAGAGGTGACTTGATAGAGACATACAAGATGATCAGAGGATTAGATAGGGTGGATAGTGGGAGCCTTTTTCCTCGGATGGTGATGGCTAGCACAAGGGGACATAGCTTTAAATTGAGGGGTGATAGATATAGGACAGATGTCAGAGGTAGGTTCTTTACTCAGAGTAGTAAGGGCGTGGAATGCCCTGCCTGCAAAAATAGTAGACTCGCCAACTTTAAGGGCATTTAAATGGTCATTGGATAAACATATGGATGATAATGGAATAGTTTAGGTTAGATGGGCTTCAGATTGGTTTCACAGGTCGGCGCAACAGCAAGGGCCGAAGGGCCTGTACTGCGCTGTAATGTTCTATGTTCTATATTCTATGTTCTATGTTAACAAGACATCTCACTGGATTTCAATTACTGCAAGCTTTGCAGGCAACACATCTCCAGCTCTTTAGCTAAGTAATATCACCTGCTGTTTCATAACTTGCTCTCCTCTGTTCTGACCTTTTTAACATACAACCTAAAAGTTATATTCCTAAAACTAAAGTTATATTCTTAAACACATGAACCAGTGACTAGATATTCAGAACATCATGTTCAGGCTCCTGATAGATATCTACAATCCAAGTATTCAACTGATACCTGAAAAGGGATGCACGGGGATTGGGGATTGGAGATTGGGCGTTGCGGACTTGGGGGGAGAGGAGGGGGTTGCTCATCTTATCAGAAATGGTTAGATAGGCTGGACCTCCATTCATCAGGGCTTAGAGGATTGAGAGATGATGTTATCTAAATGCAATCCTGAGGGGTTCGACAGGGTGGATGCTGAAAGAATGCTTCCCCTTGTGAAGAAACAGTTTTAAAAAAAAGAGATGCATCCTATTGAAGTCAGAAAAAAGGAAAGATATTTTTCTCTCGGAGTCATAAGACTTTGGAACTCTCTTCTCCAGTGAATTGTGAAAGCGAAGTCATTGATTGATTGATTGATTGATTGATTTCTTGTCCGATATAGCTTAATAGATTTTTGAATAACAAGGGAGTGAAAGATTAATAGTGAAAAATTAAAGGCAGGAATGTGGACACATGCAGATCAAACATGATCTTATTAAGTGGCACAGCAACCAACTGGAAGTGAATTGTTTACTCTTGCTTCCTATGTGTATGCTCGCATATCTGTTTTTACCATTGAAGACTGGAGCCTTCATGAGCACCTCCATTTTGAGATGTCCTTCAGGGAGCTCTTCTCATTCATTGCTCACTTCTCCCAGTGGGAAAGATGTTGCCGTTAGAATATTGTTGCTCCTATCTGGCCTCTTGTTCACTTGGTCAATTCCCTCTCCTCAGTTGGATGGTAAAAGCTTAATTAGCCAATTCAGAGACCACCTCATGTAAAGTTACTCGGGCAGGTGCACTAAGAACATATGCTGGTTTGTGACTCACACATGTTTCCAACGTTAGGATACTAATTCTCACAGGAAGATTCAGTCTAATGTTTCAGATCAACTGCCCTTTGCCAAGATATGACTAATGGTCATCAACCGGAAACAGTACTATGTTTGTCTCCATTTAGACACTGCCAGGCCTGCTGAGTATTTCCAACTAATTTGGTTCTTATTCCAGATTTCCAACATTTACAGTATTTTGTTCGTGTTTTAATGTTTTATTGTTGGTCAGTAAGACTATTACTGGTTCTTTGATTCATATTTTAGATGGCTCAGATTAACATGTCAGCACCTTACCACGCAACAATACAAAATCAACTAACGTTTCCATTTTCATTCACTAAGTTCTTACATGCAGGAAGTACACATTTATTACCTGGATACTGCATAGCCATTCACTTGGAGGAACTTGAAGAGTTCATGAGCCTTGTCACGATCTCGAGCTTTCTCCTTGGCAGTCAAAGTATCATAAGGCATAAGTGAAGTTTGACTGCCACCACCTATTATAATTTGACAGGTTGAAATACTATGATAGTTACTTGGCAGTTATTAGCAAGTTTAAGGTTTTAGCAAAGATTTTGAGGTTGTGGGTGAGGTTGTTGACTTGCTCGCCAAGCTGGCTTGTTTTCGATCAGACGTTTTGTCACCATACAAGGTAACATCTTTAGTGAGACCTCCGATGAACTGGCCTGGACTACTATGTACATAGTAACCAATGTAACTACAGTAGCCCAAGCCAAACATAGATGTGCATGGGAATTCCTAGAGGAATGGTTCTCAACCCATAATGCAATCAACAAACACATGGAATTGGACTCCATATACAAACCTGTACAGATCAAAACCGGAAATGATACTACTCACCATAACAGATCGGACAGTATAAATTCCAAGTGGAGTAGAACAACATTGCTTCATCGGAGGCCTCACTGATGATGTCACTGAGCATGGTGACGAAATGCCTGAACAAAAACAAGCCAGCTCGGCGAGCAAGTCAACAACCTCATTTACTAAGTCTGCTACCAGCAAAAACTGAACAAAAGACTGTGTCCTTGACCATTTATTCACACAAATATCACCAAACAAAAAGCAAATTGAATGGACTTCAAGAAGAACTTATTCAAAAACTTCACACTTGGATCTGCCACACATAAAAACTGCATGTTCAGAATTTTGTAATGGGTCTTTTATACAAAGTCATTAATTTATTTTATTGATTCCAAGCAGGATTGCAATGATTAGTTCAGTAAAATTGTTGATTATAAAACTGTTATGCACAAATGGATGTTTCCCCTTTTGGTGAAGTCTGTAAATAAGGGTCGCAGTTTTAGAGCAAGCATGTTCCCATTTAAGATCGAAATGAGGAATTTATTTTCTCAGTGCATGTTAGCTTTTGGAATTCCATTCCTCAGAAAGCACTAATGGCTGGGTATTGAACATTTTCAAGAGGGAGTTTGATCAACAGATGTGTTAGGGTTATGAAGGATAGGCAAGAAATTGGAGTTAAAGCTCAAAGGAACCAAATTGCCTACTTCTGTTCTTATTCTTACAATCTTACCTCAGGTAATGATACCCAAATGCAGTTTGGTTCCACGAGTTTTAGCATAGAAAGCATAGCAACAAATCTATTTCAATACAATGCAATTTCTTAACTTCATTGTTACTTTACCTCATGAAAGGGATCACTTAATATAAAACAGTTCAAAAGTAACTTCATGGATAAGTACACAAATTACTTTAATATGACGCACCTTTACTTTCTAATTCTGCTTTTCTCTTCTTGGCCCAAATATTATAATAATTTTCTGCCATAAGCTCAGTCATTACCTAGGTCATAAATGAACAATAACAAAAAATTTCATTGGATAAATTATGAATTTTTATACAGTCTTGGAGTCATAGTTTAAAATAAAACTTTGGAAAGTATGTGTGGTCAGAGAAAAGAAACAGGTTAATTAAGTCTGGTTTCTAAAGAACATTGCAACAATGTGTAGCTGTTTTAAAAGAAACATACAATCAATTTAACAAAAAATTCTTTCACAGGATGTGGGCATTGCTGGCTGGGCCAGCATTTACTGCCCATCACTCGTTGCCCCCAAGATGGTGATGGTGAGCTATTTTGTTGAATCATTGCACTCCATGTGACATGGATATTCCCACCATGTTGATAGAAGAGAGTTCCAGGATTTTGACCCAGCAAGATTAAAGGAACAACGATATAGTTGCATGTCAGCATGCTGTGGGGTTTGTGGGGTGGGGGGGGGGGGGGGCGCAGAACTTGCAGGTGATGATGTTCCCACACATCTGCTGCCCTTGTCCTTCTAGATGGGAAAGTTCATGGGTTGGAAGATGCTCTCAAAAGAACCTGATGTGCCAAACAAGCAGGCTGCTTTGTTGTAGATGGTGTTGAGGTTCTTCAGTATTATTGGAGCTATATCTACCTATACCAGTGCAGAACATGCCATCACATTCCTGATGACTTGTAGATGATCAACAGGCTTTGGGAAGTCAGGATGTAAGTTACTCGCCACAGAATTCAAAGTCTCTGTCCTGCTTGAGTAGCCATAGCATTTATATGACTGGTCCAGTTTCTAATCAATGGTAGCCCAGGTTGTTGTTAGTGGGGGATTCAGGAACACAAATGCCATTGAATGTTAACAGGAGATGATTTAGATTTCTTCTTGTTGCAGATGAATCTAAAGTGAGACAAATAGTGACTGTACATAGTGGCCTGGATCTCACAGTTAGCAATGGTGCTTGCCACGGATTTCAAAGGAAGTTACCATAAAGATCCAGTGATCTCTATGTCTCTATCTTTATGTCTATCTCTATATCTCAGTGCCTCTCCCCTTTCCAGTGCCAGGTGAAGGGGATCACTAAGTATTCAGCAACATTAAGGTCATCAAGCAGAATAAGCAGCCAATCACATTGAAGTATTCTCACTGACAGCAAACCAAAAAACATTACAAAGATTGTGAAGTAAATGATAGAGGCATGATATGGGGATACGCCAGAAATGGATTTTTCATGAACTTAAAAAGACATTTTTTTAAAAAAATCATACCACATTTGATAGTCCACAAATACAAAATAACTTGAGCAGGAACATTGAGGTTATTGAGAAATGATTATGAATTTAGTATTTTTTTTAAAAAAGTTACACCTCATTTAACAAGATGGGCTGAATCTTATTGTTGTACAGCTAAGCAAAGCTACGTTGAGTTATTTAGAGGATTTATCACTATGTGGCCTAATGAGATTTCTCAACATACCTTACCGCATTTGCCTCATTAACTATCTACCCCATCCCTATAGCATTTCTGATTCTTTCCATATCTTACCACACTCTATTCCTGGAACAATTCACCACTTCAAGGGTATTTGCCAAAAGACCACAATCTCTTGTGCCTACATCATCTTTTAAAGTCCATTACGTCCCTGGGCAAGTGCTGTCTGTCAAGTACTATTCTGCACAGTTTCTGGTATTTACCCTGGGCCAGGGCAAATAGAGGATGTCATTTCAAGGCAGAACCTGGAGGTTTTGGGTGCTAATGGTGGATGTGTGGGTGCTGAGATATAACTTCCTTTTCCCCAGGATGAGAAGTGGAGTCCAAAATTATCGGCCATGCCAGCCTGGTGCAAGATTCCTGCCCAGGTCAGTGCAACCTCGGACATCTGGAGGAACTCACATGACCACAGGAAGGAATCAATACCTTCTCCACTTCACCAGGGTAAGGGCCACCCATCTTCTCTCCCGTACCTCACACTCATTCTATCTCTGCTACTGGACCCACATCTTACCAACCATCATGCTCTCCCACTCTCACTATTGTCTGCAATATTTTCCCCACTCACTCTCATCCACCACAACACCCTACAGCAGTAACCCTGCATACCCTCTGTGCTGCCCACTTCGGACAGTCCCCGACCTATACTGAAAATACCAGCTGTGCCACCACTTTCATCTCCCATAATACAGGCCTCTCTTTCTCATTCCAGGAGGAAAGCAGCCCATAGTAGGGCAGAATGATTCAAGATGGGTGGTCTGCTATCTGACATTCTGCTCCTCACCCCTTATGTGGAAAGCATCCTGATTCTGACCGCCCAAGCAGCTGACTCACCATGTCCAAGCCCCTCAAGTTGGTTTTGGAGGTTGGCCTTGAGTTACTACGCTAGTGGTTTCTGAGTGAAAGCTACCTCCCTTGGCTCAACTGAGGACTGCCGACAACCTTCCTGGCTTTGTGTGTCTGTACTAAATGGGAAGGCAAGACAGAAATAAGATGAGCCTGGTATTTCTGGCTGAGGGGGCAAAGTGCAAAAAGGCAAGACAATGTCAGGTAGGGTTGCTGTAAATATCCAGGCAGATTCAGAATGAATGAGGACTATGACAGCAAATGAACAGGCTGGAAGATACAGCCTGGTGCAGCCCATGAGCTGAGTCTGTGTCCTTAATGTTGTGTCTTTTCAGAAGCATTACAATAAGCATTGCCCATGCAACACCAAAAAGTGCAGAAGCTTCCAATTGATTGGAGATGTGCCATGAGCGTTCTTAGAGACAGGCACGTGTCAGATGCCAAAGTTCCTGAGTGAAGGCGTGTCTGTGTGGCCAGTGCCCATGGAGCTTGCTTTGGGATGTTTGTGCACAGTGTCCAACATGGATGTCCTTTGGAGCAAGCAGTGAGTTGAAGTCACCAGTTAACCCATTCTAACTTCATGGTAAGAACTCTCAATGTCTAGCATGTTTGCTAATGTAGAAAGTTGCACCTTAATGAGGTGAGTTGAACTGTTAATGGAGCATTTAACAAATAAAAAAGCCCTTAATTGGCAACTCGCCACCCTCTAGGGAGAAACTCAGCAAAAGCTTAAAAAATGCAACAAAGTAATCAGTGTCAAGAAAGGCGTCTGCAGATGTCTTGCCTGACTCTGCAATGATTCCTGCCAAAGCCCTCATCATTCAGATCTCTAAATGATTCTGCCCAATGTAACTGTGGGAAGAATTTTTACAGTAAGACTTGTTGTGTAAAAAGGCAAAATCTCATCAGTGGAAGATTTCTACTTGTTTACACTCTTAGGCAGTTCAACAGTGCAGCCTAGGGGAAGCACAGTATCAGTGATAGAAACTTCTGGATTTCTTTAGAAATTGCACATGACTCCAGGAGTTGGGGTTAAGATTCAAAGGAATAATGATGGTGAATGTGAATAATATCCCCATTATAACTACTACAAACCCAGGACGACAGAAATTGGTTTCCCTGACAATTGTTTTACTGATCATTGAAATAGAAGACTGTGATGTTTCTGGTTGTTAAAATCAATTTTCAAAGAACTTTTTTACTTCTAATGAAAAACATCCTTGAAAGCCAAGGGCGTCATGTTTAAAATACAGCCCAATCGTGGAGATAGAGATTTCATAATGATATAAGGTTGGAAATTCCAAGATTTTAATAAAAGCAAAGCACTGAAAATGGTGGAGATAAAATCATACAGTCATTCAGCACATATGGTCCAACCAGACCATGCCAACCATAATCCCAAAGGGGAGAGACTGAGAAGGAGAATCCTTCATGTTAACCTCAGCCAGTGTGGGAACCTAACCCATGCTGTTGACATCACACTGCATCGCAAACCAACTGTCCAACCAACTGAGCTAACTGAACCCCTGGCAACTGAGCCTTGACCAAACACCTCGATGTCATATTTGATTCCAAAATGAGCTTCTGAGCCTATATCCGTGCCAGCACTCAGACTGCCTACTTCCACCTTTACAACTCGGCCTCTGTTTTAGCTCATTCGCTGCTGGAACTCTCATTGATACCTTTGCTGTGTCTAGACTTGACTATTGCTTTGTTCTCCTGACCAATCTTCTTCATCCTACCTTTCATGAATCTAACATCACCCAAAACTCCACTGCTGCTGTCCTAATTCACTCCATGACATTGCATTTTTGCTATGCTTGCTGACCCACATTGGCTCCCTTGACACCACCAACCTTGGCTTGGTGAGAATTCCTCAGTGATGGAATTATTTCAGTGTTGCAATTGTATTACTTTGGATTTTCAGCTCTTAGGTTTGTTCTAAGTCAAGACCGTGACCAGGTATGGAACCAGAGTATCCTAGTGAAACACTTTCTGAACCTGGTCAGCAAGTATTATTTAATATTAAATGCTTAATAACTAACAAAAGTAAACTATGATAAAAGTAGATCAACTAACCTGATTGTCTCTGGACAGCAAAGTATTAGACAAGTCAACGGGAACAGGGGTGTATCCTCCTGAATTCTGCAAGAAATGATACAAGAAATTTGCACAAAAATTCAGAGTCATTTTCATTCTAAACTTGAATAATTTACATCAAAGCACCTGTACAATGATGACTGTCAGAATATTTAGCAAAAACACTTGAGCTATTTATTTCATTTCCAGTACTTGATTACCATTGGTGTGAAGTGCAAACGCTTTCAATGAAGTGAGATTTATTTGGCTCCACAGCCCATGCGTTTCCAGAGAGATTGGGAAAGTTGAGAGACCGGAAATGGCTGAAGAACTGGTTAAGGCTGTGGTTGAGGAAGTCCTGCTGAATTTGACAGCAGGACATGATCATCTTTTTATTCCATTTCTGATGACAGTCAAACTAACTGGCTGGGTCACCGTCAGGCAGAAACAGATCAGTGCTGCACACAGTTCCAGGAGATTGAAGAGAACATTGTTGTGGTAATGGTGTGGAGTCACAACCAGCTGGATGGAAAGACATGGGGAAAATCAGAGCTTAAGGGGCTGGGAGGGGTGTAGGTGGTGGTGTTGGTCAATGATCATAGCAGCAGAATAGCCGAGAAAGAATAACTGCTTCTCCAGGCTCACAGTTCCTGTAAAGAGGTTATTTTGCTTGTGGTGCAAGCATCACCCAATTTTTCCTCCCCAGGGATCACACTAGTGTCAGTAAAATTTAACCTGGGCTCCCGATTGCAATGTAGGAACCCAATTTAAAAACGTTTTTGAAGTCTCCTGCCTCCCCACCCTGGGAGACTTATAAAAGTTTCTTCTGAACAAATAAACCATTAATGGGTCATAAGAACATAAAAACTGGGAAAGGAGTAGGCATTTCAGCCCCTTGAACCTGCACCACCATTTAGTACCATCATGGCTGATCTCATCTCGGCCTCAACTGCACAAATGTTCATTGTCATGTTCTCTTTTTTTTTCCAAATTTGCTCACCCTCCCTTCCCTGCCTGTCATAACAAAGTCCAGGAACAAGTTCAAAATAGACCATGGAAGAGCTTTACAATACCTGAGAAACTTTGCGCAATTTCTCACTTTCCAGGTGCTGGATCATGGCTTCACTTTCTTTTGTTCTTTCAATGTTCCAATTCAAAGCCAGCATAACTCGAAAAGATTCCTTGGCTGGCCAGCGATAAAATTCTTTTTCCTGTGTTTGAAGAATTACATATATCACCAATTGAACTCTGCATTTGCAAATATGTAGAATTAATTCTGAACACTTAGCAACTACTGATAAGTGCCAAATCTTTGGAAACTGTATTAAATTTGAAAATTTCAAACATGAAATTGTTTTGAGGCTTAATGAGACAAGTCCCCAGGGCCTGATGGTATATACACCAGAATACTGAGAGAGGCAAGGGAGGAAATTGCTGGGGACTTGAGGGAAATCTTTGTATCCTCACTGGTTACAGGGAAGGTCCCAGAGGATTGGAGAATAGCCAATGTTGTTCCTCTGTTTAAGAGGGGTGGCAAGGATAATCCAGCTAATAACAGGCCAGTCAGCCTTACGTCAGTGGTAGGGAAATTACTGAAGAGGATTCTTCGAGACAGGATTTACTCCCACTTGGAAATAAGTGGGCGTATTAGCGAGAGGCAACATGGTTTTGTGAAGGGGAGGTCGTGTCTCACTAATGTGGTTGAGATTTTTGAGGAGGTGATGAAGATGATCGATGAGGGTAGGGCAGTGGATGTTGTCTACATGGACTTCAGCAAGGCCTCTGACAAGCTCCCTCATGGCAGGCTGATACAGAAGCTAAAGTCACACAGGGTCAGAGGTGAGCTTGCAAGATGGATAAAAAAACTGGCTTGGTCATAGAAGACAGAGGGTAGCAGTGGAAAGGTGTGTTTCTGAATGGAGGGCTGTGACTAGTGACGTTCCTCAGCGATCAGTGTTGGGACCTTTGCTATTTGTAATATACGTAAATGATCTGGAGGAAAATGTAACTGGTCTGATTAGTAAGTTTGTCGATGACACAAAGATTGGTGAATTGCTGATAGTGATGAGGACCGTCAAAGGTTACAGCTGGATATTGATCGGTTAGTGACGTGGGCAGTGAGATGGCAGATGGAGTTTAATCTGGAAAAATGTGAGGTAATGCATTTTGGAAGGTCTAAATCAGATGAAAAATATACAGTAAATGGCAGAACCCTTAAGAGTACTGATAGGCAGAGGGATCTGGGTGTACAGGTACACAGGTCACTGAAGTGGCAACGCAGGTGGAGAAAGTCGTCAACGAGGCATATGGCATGCTTGCCTTCATCAGGCGGGGCAATGAGTTTAAAAATTGGCAGGTAATGTTGCAGCTTTATAGAACCTTAGTTAAGCTGCATTTCGAATACTGTGTTCAATTCTGGTCGCCACACTACCACAAGGCTTTGGACAGGGTACAGAAAAGATTTACCAGGATGTTGCCTGGTATGGAGGGCATTAGCTATGAGGAGATGTTGGCGAAACTTGGGTTGTTCTCACTGGAACGATGGAGGTTGAGGGTCGACCTGATAGAGGTTTACAAGATTATGAAGGGCATGGAAAGACTGGACAGTCAGAAGCTTTTTCCCAGGGTGGAAGAGTCAGTTACTAGGGGCCATAGGTTTAAGGTGCGAGGGGCAAGGTTTAAAGGTGATGTACAAGGCAAGGTTTTTTACACAGAGGGTGGTGGGTGCCTGGAACTTGCTGCCAGGGGAGGTAGTGGAAGCAGATTCTATAGTGACTTTTAAAGGGTGCCTTGACAAATACACGAATAGGATGGGAATAGAGGGATACAGTCCCCGGAAGGGTAGGGGGTTTTGTTGTGATGGGCAGCATGTCGGTGCAAGCTTGCAGGGCTAAAGGGCCTGTTCCTGTGCTGCAATGTTCTTTGTTCTTTGTTCTTAATACACCATAGTAGAAACAGATACAGTATTTTACTAACTGCATGTTTTTTCAGACAAAACATCGGCATGCTCCAATAGTGTATCCTGTATTATATTAAATGATATAATAACAACCATTACAATACAGATGACTAACAACTGACACACTGCAGTGAAGAATCATTTCACCTGACCACACTTCTGGTTATTTTGACTACTATTGAACCTGTGAGGGAGTTTAGTTCAAATGCCGTTAACACTGAGTCAAAAATTATAGATGTCAAAAAGATGTATGTAGAAAAGGTTGAATAACATTAAAAAATTACAAAACTGATACATAACTGCTACTGTCAAACAATTATCACTTGTGAGTCACTGCAATGGTGTTTATTACACTACCAAAGGTGTTGAGTATGAATCTGTAATTCCCTCCAACACTTGCCAATAACAGGCAGGAAGAGAGGGAGAGATTCCTGTTCATGCATGTGACAGAAACAAATTTGAACACTCCAGTGTCACCATCCAGAGCTCTAAATTAAAACATTCAAAACAAGGTCTAAATGGTTCCCATCCACCATCACCCTCTTTTGTGTAGCTGAGCTTGTCAGCACTTTAAACAACCTCTCCTTTAACTCCTCTCACTTTCGTCAGGTCAAAAGGGTAGCTATGGGCACCCACATGGGCCCCAGTTATTAAGGTCTCATTGTGGGGTATGTGGAACATTCCTTGTTCCAGTCCTACTCAGGCCCCCACCCTCAACTCTGATGAAATCAATGGTGATGCTTCCCCCTCATCTGGAATTGGAAAAAATTAATCAATTTTGCTTCCAATTTTCACCTTGTACTCATCTTCAACTAGTCAATTGCTGACTCCTCCCTTCCCTTCCTCAACATCTGTTTCTATTTCTGGGGATAGGCTGGCCACTGATATCCATTACAAACCTGCTGACTCCCACAGTTACTATACATCCACAAACGCTGCTTCCTGTAAAGAATCCATCCCATTCTCCCAGTTTCTCTGCCTCCATTACATCTGCTCTGATGATACCACCTTCTGCAGGGAGCCTCAGAAATATGCACCTTTTTCCTCAATTGAGGATTCCCCACTACTGTGGTTGACAGGACCCTCAGCTGTGTCCGACCCATTTCCCACACTTCTGCCCTCGCCACTTCACTTCCCCCCTAAAGCACCATTGGGGTCCACCTGATCCTCACTTTTCACCCCAGCCGCTCCATACCAAAGGATCCTGAGCCACCATTTCTGCCATCTCCAGTGGGATGCCACCACCTGACATGCACGCCCCTTCCACGCCCTGTCAGTATTCTGCAGGCAGTGTTCCCACCTGGACATCTTGGTCCACTCCTCCTCCACAACCTGACAGCGTTTTCCCCTACAACTGCAGAAGGTGTAACACCCACCCAGTTACTTCCTCTATTGTCGCTATCCAAAGCCCCACACACACCTTCCAGGTGAAGTAATGATTTACTTGCCCTTCACTCAATGTCATCTACTTATTCACTGATCGCAATGTTGGAGAGATGAAAAGTAGACTGGGCAACTGCTTTGCAGAACACATATGTCCTGTCTGCAAAAAAGACCCTGAGCTTCCAGTTGCCTGCTGCTTCAACACACCACCTTGCATGCAATGTCAAAAGATATTCAATGACCTCAACAGGATGATGGCAGCTGGAAATTCAATCTTAAGATCAGGGAATCGATGCTCAAATTCTGCTATCATTGATAAAAGTAGCATCTGCATCCTTTTAACTACAATAATGCCAAACAACAGCTGATGCATAACTAGATATATCAGAAAATTGGTAACATGGATCTGTTAACTTTATTCTCAACATTTAATTTTGGTCAGCTGGGTATAAAACAAAGCACTTCCAAACTAAACTAGTCAGAAAGCTACGGAGGTAAGGTTTATTTTTGTCTGACATGAAATGCACACTTTACTCAAGAGAGAAGCCCTTCAATTACCTGAGCATTTAGGTGCAAATTGAACAGAGTCACAGTGTAATCACAGTGCTGACGCAGTTTAACCATCAAAAACTTCCCTGCAATAACTAACTATTGAAAGTACAAAGCTCTCATTAGTATCCCTTACCCTTTCTGTTAAAGTTTTGTATGGTCTCAGTAATGGATGGGTCTTCATATTTTCATTGATTGAATCACTATACGTCCACCCATTTTGTATCTGTAGAACAAGAAGCACAGTTAGAACAAAGAACAAAGAAAATTACAGCACAGGAACAGGCCCTTCAACCCTCCAAGCCTGCGCCGATCCAGATCCTCTATCTAAACCTGTCACCTATTTTCCAAGGATCTGTATCCCTCTGCTCCCTGCCCATTCATGTATCTGTCTAGATACATCTTAAATGACGCTATCGTGCCCACCTCTACCACCTCCGCTGGCAACGCGTTCCAGGCACCCACCACCCTCAATTAGAGTTGCTGAGTTGAAACATATGTAGACATTAACTTGTTGATAATATTCAGTTGTCACAAGCAGTCCAGTTTAGCTATCCACATCCTTTTAAAATAATACTTGTGCATCCATTCTTTACTCCAGACATTATAAATTAGCACTCAATTCTCTTCCAGCAGCATTCTTTTCAAAAGTCCTCTCTTCAATGTGCATTTGCTTCTTCTGATACAAGACCAGCTCTGACAGAACAAGCATTCCCCATGGCCTTTAACTCCAATATAAAATTCACGAAGACTGTCTCAGTACAACACAAGCCTCATTAAAATTTGATATTTATTTGGCTTCCAACATCTGTTCAATCGCAGTAAGATAATAGCAAAAATGACAGAAATGTTAATTTCATGACAGAAAAATGACCAGGGGTCTGGATTTTACGGAGATGGCAGAAATGCTTCTTTTGAACTCAAAGATGGAAGAGGACTGTTTCAGCCAGCAGTGGGTCCAGGGGAACATGTTTCCCATCAGAGGGCAATTACCATGGCTACTGCCTGGGTCACCGCCCTAAACCATGATAACATTCCGCTCCCTCCCTCACAACCAAAGAGCTACCAGCTCATTCTGTCTTTTTTTCATTCATTCAGTCATGGGATGAGAGTGTCGTTGGCTGGGCCAGAATCTATTGCCCTTCCCTAATTGCCCGAGGGCAATTAAGAGTCACCCACATTCCTGTGGGTCTGGAGTCACATGCAGGCCAGACCAGGTAAGGATGGCAGTTTCCTTCCCTAAAGGACATTAGTGAACCAGATGAGATGAGTTTTTCTGACAATTGACAATGGATTCATGGTCATCATTAGATTCTTAATTCCAGATTTTTTTGTTGAATTCATATTCCACAATCTGCCATGGCAGGATTCAAACCCATGTTCCCAGAATGTTACCAGTGAAATTATCTCAAGGCCATCGCTTCCCCATATTCACAATACGACAGCATCTCTGGCTGGGTATCCACAAAAAGGGCTGCTGGTTTTGGAAGGCCAAGACCAGGCCCTAATAACTAATGGGCATGGGAAGGGGGAAGGGTGGCAGGAATGGCGCTCAGCAGTTGAGAGGCACAGATAGCAATAGTGCAGCAGGATCAGCCATTGCCAATGTGGGGCCCCTCACTGTGCCACAGTGTCCAAAACGGAGGGCAACCCCATCCCCGGAGTCTTCAGGGAGGCGGGTCTAGGCCCAAAACGTCAGCCTTCCTGCTCCTCTGATGCTGCTTGGCCTGCTGTGTTCATCCAGCTCTACACCTTGTTATCTCTTATCTTCAGGGAGGTCGTCAGGTTTCACAGTTTCCTACCGATACAAGACACTCATTAGGGATAAAATGTCCTGAGAGGTAAGTTGTGGCCCTTAATTAGTCACTTAGGAGGCTGAATTGGGCTTCTGGCAGGTGCTTTCAGGCTCTGTTTTTCTGCAGTTGGCAAAATAACACGGCATCAGGAGGATGTTAGAGACGTAACCCCTCCCGCCAGTGCCTGCCCACAATATTTTGCCAGCCTTCCCATCTGTCAGTATTACAAAGAGCTAATAACATTCCAGATAAAAACCAAAAGAACTGCGGATGCTGTAAATCAGGAACAAAAACAAAGTTGCTGGAAAAGCTCAGCTGGTCTGGCAGCATCTGTGAAGGAGAAAACAGAGTTAACGTTTCAGGTCCACTGACCCTTCCTCAGAACTGTTCTGAGGAAGGGTCACTGGACCCGAAACGTTATCTCTGTTTTCTCCTAATAAAATTCCAGCCAGGTTACAAATTTGGAGTTGCTATGGACACCTTGTCAGGGTTCATGGAGCAGCCAATTCCCATTATCACCTTACTTTAATGAGAGCTGACACACGTTGTGTGATACATTATTGGGTGATAGTACAGTCCAGAGTCACAATACCACTCCAGTGTTAGTGCCCATCATGTACATGCTTCTTCAATTTCTCCAGAGATAGATTAAGCAAACACTTAGAGAAGCACAACATAAGAACAAACTGACAAGCTGCTTTATTTCACAAGAACAGCAATCATGATCAGACTTTCTTAGTGAAACGTACAAGATCCTGAAAGGTCTTGACATGATGGATGCTGAATGGCTGTTCCCCCCGGATGCTGACAGGAACTAGGTCACACAGTTTAAAAGCAAGAACTATCCCATTTAACATAGGGATGATTTTTATTTAACCTCTCATAGGATTGAGTGTGTGGAGACTTCTCTTCCCCAGAGACTGATGGAGGAAGGGTCATTGAATATTCTTGAGGCAGGTTAGATTTTTGACCAATAAGGGAGCTGAAAGCTGTCAGGGCTGGGCAGGAATGTGGATTTGAGGCCACAATCAGCTCAGTGTGATCTTCTTGAATGGCAGTGCAGATCGAGAGTCAAAATGGCCTACTCCTGCTCTTAATTTGTATGGTTGCATTCTCATTCAAATCAGCACGACTCATCCTCATGCAATAATATTAAAGTAATGCTCATACCAACCTTTCCTGGTGAACCAATAGTTCAACTTGCTTTACTTAAATAGATAGCTTCTAAATGTCTATTTTATCCTCCATCCTTTCTTAAACACTATCTACCACTGCCTTTGCTTCCAGTTTTATTATTCTTTTTGCTCAAGCTCAAAAGGGATCAAAGGCTTTATCACTGAACACTGACTTCACCAATGTTTCTTTAGCATAACCATTATCACTCCGGTCTAGGCCCGAAACGTCAGCCTTTCTGCTCCTATGATGCTGCTTGGCCTGCTGTGTTCATCCAGCTCTGCACCTTGTTGTCTCGATCACTCCCTCTGTCTTTTGTTACATGCCATCTTTGCTATTTCACCTCTCCCACATTTTATCCTCTCTCTGCATTTCCCTTCTGTGTTGCTGAGAAAAACACATTTGTCAAAACTTTATATCTTGTGCTCATCAGACCAATTCAGAGTCAATACCCCTGTTTAAAATTTAAACAAGCTTGGGAATTAACTTTCCATTATCATTCATTGGTGCATTCGCCATGACAACACGTCCACCAATCAGAGTCAACTTACCAACCAACAAGCATGCTTCGCTCACACAGTAAAATGGATGTGAGGTATTGATTAATGCTTAGGAAAGTTACTGGTTACTTATAATTTTACGCACTTTAGAGAAAACAACTATTCACAGCATATGAACCATCTGTCATTTAGGTACCTTTATTAAAAACTTTTAAGAATATGCTTGCGTTTAAACCTAATGATTAAGGAAGCTCCTTTCCAGTTCTATTGTCTGATAAAATATGCTCAAAAGGTCAAAAAACAAGATCTTAATCATTACCTTTTCAAAAGCCCACTTCTCATGTAGATGTTCTGCATATTTGTTGACAATATACTCCAACTTCTCTGGAATTGATATACTGAAACAAATCAGAAAATCTATTTCAAACGGTCCACTTTTAACATTTAAAATGTTTTAGGAAGTTTTATCAAATAGGGTCTATTATATAAGCAGATTCAAAATCAATCAATACTATTTTCAATTAAAATAGTGAAAGACTATCAAATTTGGCTAAGAACTATTCTGCATTGGGTATTTTCTGCTTGTAATACTTTATTTCTTTCTTTGCTGGTGAGATGCAAATAGTGCCATAAAGTTGTACAGCACGGAAACAGATTCTTCGGCTCAACTCGTCCATGCTGATCAGATAACCTAAATTAATCTAGTCCCATTTACCAGCATTTGGCTCATATCCCTCTTAAACCCTTCCTATTCATGTAGCCATTAAGGTGCCTTTTAAATGTTGTAATTGTACTCACCTCCACCACCTTGTCTGGCAGTGCATTCCATACACACACCATACTCTGTGAGGAAAAAAATTGCCCCCTAGATTTCTTTTAAATCTTTCCCCTCTCACCCATGCCGTCTAGTTTTGGTCTCACCCACCATAGGAAAAATACTTTAACTTTTCACCCTATCCATGCCCCTCATGATTATATAAACCTCTACAGGGTCGACCCTCAGCCTCCGACACTCCAGGGAAAATAGCCTCAGCCTATTCAACCTCTCCCATAGATTAAACCCTTCAACCCTGGCAACATTGTTGTAAATCTTTTCTGAACCCTTTCAAATTTCACAACATCTTTCTTTTAGTAGGGAGACTGGAACAGCATGCAGTACCTTAATACCTTTGCTTAACAAAAATAAACTTATCTATAATAAAACCAAGAGCTAAGAAAGTTAGAATTCAGAAATGAAAACAGAAATTGCCAGAGAAACTCAGGTCCAGTGACTCTTCAGAACACCTCTTCCCAGACCTGCTGATCCTCTCCAGCAATTTCTGCTTTTGATAAAAAAAATTATCTGTGTCAAATTTAAAATTAGCAACTGGTCCAGCATGCTCTGCCATTTGTGGTAAACATTAAGTGGAGATGCTGTTGTTGGACGGGGTGGACAAGGTCAAAAATCATACGACACCAACTTATAGTCCACAGGTTTATTTGTAAATGCAAGCTTTCGGAGGTCAGCTCCTTGCTCAGACTATACTCCCAGTTCTAGAATCTCCAACCAGCGGAAATAGTTTTTCTTTATCTACCCTGTCTTTTCCTATTAATATCTTGAAGAGTTCCATATTCATGAAAAGGTTTGAACCTGCTTCTATAGCTAAGTTTATGTTTGATATACTTTCTGACAAAATCACTGTCTCCAATTAGATACAGAATACATTGAATGGTTTGACTGATATTAAGTACATTTGAACAATCTTCAAAATTATCAGTATTTGAAATTCTATAGTGGTTGCTTAGCAACTTTAACTGGTGCCACTTTACAGAAAAATCTGTGAGTCTACTTGTACAAATACACCAACAAGTCTTATATACCATGAACTCTATCCTCCATTTTGACATTTTTTAAACCAAGATTTAGTCTGCATCTTATTTTCATGTTATTGCTTTCAGATAGAGCTGTTTATTATTACAAAAATAACTTACACCTCTAATTTTTGTTTAATATCACCATTACTACTCCCTTTGTCTTTCATTATTTGCCATCTTTGTTATTTAATTTTGGTCACGTGCTATCCTATCTCTGCCTTTTCCTTCTGTATTGCTCAGAAGAGATGCATTTTACTGAAGGCTTACATTTTGCACTCATCGGGACAATTCAGCGTCAACTTGCCTTGTTTAAAATTTGTTGTTTTTCCTTTACATTGTTTTTCCTAAATTTCCCTGATGAGTGCATGATGAAAAGCTTTGACAAAATCTATCATTTCAGTAATACAGAAGTTCTGTGCTCCTACATGACCATTTTTAGCCTTTATTCTATTTCCTCCTCTCCCTTTAACAGTGCAAATCCATTAATTTACCAACTTCCCTCCGTTCCAAGAAACAGTGAAATTCAACTCATTGCATTAAATCTGTTTCTCTCTGCACAGATACTGCCAGACTTGCTGCATTTTGCCAGCAGACTTAAGGGGCCAAACAGCCCACTCCTGTTCCTATTTCTTATGGTCTTTCTGTTTTTACTTCAGATTTTAGAATCCATCATATTTTGCTTTTAATAACTTACACAAATTTCACCATCCAGATAACACATTTAAAATAAGTTCTAAAATGCCTAAACATAGTTTTCAAAATGTTCAGATAATAACAAAACACTTTGTAGTAAATAGTAAAATTGTTTAGCTATAAATAGGTATTAAGGGTAAAATTCTAAGGTGTGCATCAGGATTTTTTGATGTATAAAGCATTCAAAATAAATCATTTTCAGCCTTTTCAAATTGTGCAGTTTGCAATTTGTTAGAATTTTGTATTTGAAATACAAATAGAAACTTTAAATACACCTTCTGTACCCTGATAAGTGTTGGATTTTTCAAAATCAGATTAATTAATTTGAAACTTTACTAGTTATCTTCTAAAGTAATGACATAAGTAGCAGCACATAACCAGAGAAACGTGAAATATTTTTCTAAACCTTTGTCCTACAAAAGAACAGATGAAATATGTGGCAAACATGGGTTAAATTGATGGGGACCACATTTAAAGAAAACCATCTTTATTCATTTCTGTGCCATACTTAGAAGTGTTGATTGGTTTTGGGTCAAAGTTGCCTTCTTCATCCACTGAATTCTGCCTTTCCAACACATCAGAAAAGCTGGAATCCACATAATCGGGTGACAGAGCCCCTCCAATAGCACTCAGGCATGGCAAGGCAATTTTAAAGAGTTCAGGGTTGTACTTCTGCAGGAAAGATAGAGACTTGTAAAGGAAAACACGGGATTGCTCACAGTAAAAAATGATACTTATTTTATGGAAGTGAAAATATGATACTACTCAATGTAACTCCAAACAAACTCCAAATAGATGACTTCCATATAACATTTACAGTAGGAACATAATGGAAGGAGGAGTAGGTACTAAAAGTGAAGAAAAATATATTGCAAACAAAATATTACGTAGATAAATGGATAAAATGATCACTTTTTCTAAATGAACTGTTCTATAGCAATCCTCATGGACCATTTTACCATTTTTCTTCAACTTCAATTATTCTAAACAGTCAAGCTGACACTAAGAAGTTAACCTATTATCGGGCAATATTTCAAATACATTTAATTTTACATCAAAGTGGGTTATTCTATCATGATGAGAACAAATAAGTGGCCACACTGTGTCCTACATTTGACAGAAGTTTTCAGTTTAATGAAGAACAAATATCATTCTGCTGCAAGGAGTTTCAAACTATGAATAGAAACTCATAGAACTCAATTTATTTTCTTGGAGAAAAGACAATTCAGAGGAGGCATGATTAGTCTTTAAGCTGTTAAGTAGCATTAATAATATTTAAGTAGCTTTCTAGCTTCCTTTTTGAAAAAGCTTCTCAAACAAACCGTATTTGCCATGCATTTAATATGTTTGAAACACCAATGTTATATGATTCATGTGCTGAAGTTTAATAAAATAAGGTCAAAACAGTCATAAACTTTGGATTTTACAATCTGTAACTTCAGCAATACAAATATTCATTATTGTACAAGGGAAATGCAAAATTAAATCAAGAAACATAAGTAAAGATTATGGAAATATAGAAAAGTCAGGAGTAACATTGGAATGAATCTACACTTAATATGGCTAAGTGTCATTTTCATTCAATTTTGTGGAGGGTTTCTCTCCTCAAGTCCTGGTTACTGTCTCATGTAACCATCTCAAAATGCCTCATCAACTACCTAACAAGGCTTGTTGGAGCCCAACACTCCTTGTCCAATGCTAGCCCAATTCTACACTCAGCAGAGCTAGATGCACTTGCCCCTGCCAGAATAGGCTAGGAAATGTTGGCAGATGGGCAGAGGAAGGTTGGCCTCTTCTCTCAGGATCAGTAATGGATATCAGATCACCAAATCCTGCTTGCCCAGTTTGAGATTGTCACCCCAGATGATGTGGTGTCCACAGTCCAGAGGAACACCAAGCAGTACAGGAAGTAGGTCAACTTCTTTCTCTATTCCTCTGGGGTAAGTACGACACTCATCCATCTGCTACCTCGCACTCACTCTGACTCTGCTATTGCACCTACCTTCCACCAAAGCTCATGCCCTACCACTCTCAGTATTGCCTGCAACATCTTTCATCACTCACTCCCTCCCATCCATCCAATCCCTCACAGTAAGCATCATTGCTGCCTACTCATTCACTCGAAACACATCAACATCTTTCACTTACTTGCACCAACACTTAACGGCTGAGCCACTCACTATCATCTCACTGAATCCCTTCCTGTCCCTTGTTACAGGTGAAAATGACGTTCAATATTTGACATACAGAGGGATCTTCAGATCTAAGTCTATAACTCCCTGAAAATGGATAAGGTGGTAAAAAAAGGCGTATAGCTTGCTATTCTTCATCAGTTGGGTCACTGAGTATAAAAGCTGGCAAGTCATCTTACAGCTGTTGCCACACTATAGAAACAACATGGAGGCTTTGGAGAGAGCGCAAAAGAGGTTTACCAAGATGTTGTCTAGATTGGAGTGTATTAGCAATACAAAGAGGTTGGACAAGCTTGGATTGTTTTCATTAGAGCATCGGAGGCCGAGGGGCTGCTTGGCAGAATATATAAAATTATGAAAGACATGGATAGGGTGGATAGCCGAAGTCTTCTTCCCAGGAAATGTCAAATACTAGGGGACATAGGTTTAAGGTGAGGGGGTAAGTTTAGAGGGTGGTAGGTGCCTGGAAACAACTGCCAGGAGAGGTAGTAGAAGCAGATATGATAGCAATGTTGAACAGGCATTTAGACAGACACATGAACAGAAAGAGAATGTAGAGTTACAGACAACATGCAGGCAAATCAAATTTGTTTAGAAGGTCATCACGTTCGGCACAGACATGGTGGGGCATGTTCCTGTGCTGCACTGTTCTATGTGTACATCTGGGACTTGGTTGAAAAATGCAACTTGTTGGACTCAATGTTGAGAAAGGTGTCACCCAAGAGCCTACATCATTCAGGGTCTGGGAAAATTCAGTCCAATATACTGAATGATAAGTGAAAGCATTAGACAAGAACCACATTGAGCTGTTTCTGATAGAGGAAGCAATGCAATTCGAACATGCACGGACTTATCTATGTTTAACTTTGCAACAACTTTAAATGTGAAGTTTCACATTTTTGAGGCACCCAATTAGGTGTATTTTTTTAACTCAAGTATATACATGGCACAGATTTAATTTAAGACTTTGAACTTCAATTTACCTCTTCCAGCCTGAAAGGTCAACAACCTATAATACAATTTAGGTATATGTATTGTTACCTTTGTAGAGAGTGAATCAAAAATTCCCCAGAACAACTTTTTAGTGAGATGTAATTCTTCTTCAGATGCACATCCATAACTGCCCCATCCTGATGCCAAGCAATAGTATTTCCAACATTGCTCATAGTGACTGGCTAGAAGCTATAATTGATAAAAGAAAATAATATTAAATGACTAAAAGTAATACAGCAGAAGAAAACTGTTTACAAAATAATCAAATTAGTATTTCAGGGCTGAATTCATGCAGATAAAATGGAAGAATAGAGGGACATGATTTAATACAAGTTCTGTCTGGGATGAGCAAGAGTAGCCTGGTTACCATGGGAGCAGAGACCCAGCCAATAAAATACATGTGTCAGTATAGAAAAGACAAAGCTGCTGCTTTTGCCATGGGAAGACTTACAAACTCAAAGCAATCTGATTCAAACATGCTGAACAGACAGCGAGGAGAGAGAGAGAGAGAAGGCTGATGGATTGGAGGGAGGTGGGGGCACGGTCAAGAGGGATAGGTAGGAAAACAGCAAATACTTTGTAAACCAGGTGGGGAAAGTGTGTTCCCTGTAACCACTCAGACAGAATGCTGGCGGGAATTTCTGTTCGCTTAAGGATACTGGAAGATTCATCCTGATATGGCAAGGAGGAGGTATCTCCAAAGAACCTTTCGCTGATAGAAGTCAATTTAGAGATTGTCAGAAAACTGAGGGAAGTGATTTTTGATGGAGACTGGATGCCACCCCTTGGCAAAACAGGGGTGAGATGAGCCAATCAGAAGATGGGAATGTCATTGGACTGGCTCCTGTAAAGGCTACAGTTGTTCTGACATTGAGGCTATATGAGTGCTAAATAATTTCTAGCTTATAAGTGTGGTCAATAGAAAATCAGTATCCTGTAGATTCTAATCTCATTCTCCGAAGCTCAACATGCAAAAAGTAAATAAAATGAATTATGGACATACTGGTAGTATTTAAAATCCAGAGCTCAGATGTTCTGAACGTTTAGTGTTTGCTTTCTGGTTTTCCCTGAACAGGAGAGTGTGGGAAATGAATTTGACCCCACCACCTTTTGCAGGTTCACCTGCTTGGAAATGAATGGCACATGCTGATTACTTGTGTCAGTTTGTATATATTAAATATTATTGAGGACTAATACAGCATCTAGCATATTTCCCAGTGTTATTGGTTCAGGAAAGTTGAGTGTCAGGAATGCCATCATTTTCCCCATGTTCAACATCATAAAGGCAGTGGAGTGGGGATTTAAAATTTGAAAGGTGGCACAGCCCTTGACATAAAGCTGGAAAACTAATCTGTTTTCATATATTTTGTTCTTATCTGACAACACCAGTTGTACTATAATTAGCTATTACTAGTGATTTCACCCTTCCCTAGCCTAAAGTGCGCAACCAAGATGAACAGAAATATCATAAGCAGGCTATCAAAAACATATTTCAATGAGTTTAGCATTGGACGGTTTAATGGGGTTAGGGCATAGGCCACATTGTCACAGATGCGTTAAGATTTTTGAGAGATTAGGAATCTAAACCAATATATCTTCGGAATACTTTGCAAATGTGATGGCATCAGTATCAAAATATCAAGATGATGGGCTGTTCAATGTTAACACTAATGGTAATCCTTCATGTAATACTTCGATATATGATCTGATCCAATATATCTTCCAATTGCTTTTCAATCAACTTATATTAACTATTTTCAAGTTCATAATTTATCAATACAAGATTAGTTTTTGCTAGTACCTTTAAAGGCATTTTACTGTATTCACTAAGAATGGGAACATCAAACACAAAGCGACGCAGGAGTGGTTGCAACATTGAAGGTTGAAGGTGCCTGATGAACAACGGAAAATTACGTAAATACAGAGAAACAGACTCAAATATAGATTCTTGTGATATATCATTCAAACATTCACCTGCGTAGAGGAATTGGCATGTCATTATTGGAGCTGTACAGAACACTGGTGAGGCCACTTTTACAATACAATTCTGGCCACCCTTCTATAGGAAGGATGTTGTTAAACTTGAAAATATGCTGAAAATATTTACAGGGATGTTGCGAGGATTGGGTGGCGTGGATGATTGAGCTCCAGGGAGAGGCTGAATAGGCTAGGGCTTTTTTCCCAGAACATCAGATGCTGAGGGGTTACCTTAGAGAGGTTTATAAAATCATGAGGCGCATTGATAGGGTGAATAGTCAAGGTCTTTTTCCTAGGGTGGGGGAGTCCAAAATTAGAGGACAGAGGTTTAAGGTGAGAAGGGAAAAATTTAAAAAGCGGGGTAATCTTTCAATGCAGAGGGTAATGCACCTATGGAACAAGCTGATCAAGGCAGGTACAATTGCAACATTTAAAAGGCATCTGGATGGGTATACAAAAAAGAAGGGTTTAGAGGGATATGCGCCAAATGCTGGCAAATGGGACTAGGTCAGATTAGGATATTTGGTCAACACGGACAAATTGGATCGAAGATTCTGCTTCCGTGCTGTATGAATCTACATCTTGCAAGCAGTCAAATACATGGTCATCATTCCTCCGTAAATTTAGGTGGGAAGAGAACATCACTGTCTCATAATCTCTCAGCATCTAGGTACAGCTCAAGGGATATATGACAACACTTGTTAGTTTTCTTGACTATTTTGATTCATACCATTCAAATACAGGTGCAAATACAGACAAAGTAAATCCTTAACTGTCTGTAGATCAGGCAGCATCAAAGGAACAGGAAAGCTGACGTTTTGGGTCGGGACCCTTCTTTCAAAGCTGAAATGTCAGTTTTCCTGTTCCTCTGATGCTGCCTGGCCTGCTGTATTCCTCCAACTCCACACTTTATCTCTGACTCCAGCATCTGCAGTTCTTGCTATCTGCTTAACTGTTGGTTGCTTTTAATTAACTGATGTTCTCTTATCTCTTCTTCTCTATCTAAACAAACATTTGGTAATATCATCTGCAGGCATCATTTTGGCCTCTTGACTATCAAGGTGTTTGCCTGACATCTAAAATTAGGTAATGTTATAGAAACATACAGTCCGAACATGTGCAAGTTAAGTGGATTGGCCATGCTAAATTATCCATAGTGTTCAGGGATGTGTAGGTTAGGTGCGTTACCCATGGGAAATATAGGGTAAGGGGAATTGGTCTGGGTGGGATGCTCTTCGGTGGGTTGGTATGGAATTGTTGGGCTAAATAGCTTGTTTCCGTGCTGTGGGGATTTGATTTTAAAAATATATAAAATGGAAGCAAGCCATGTGACTGTGACTCTTTGAAAGAATAGTCGTGTGCATTTTCCCACATCCTGCGACTTAAATGCAAACTCCTCAGCAAGTGTCTATTCAATTCCCTTTTAAAATTAATTATGGGAACTGTTCCTATTAATTTTTCAGGTAGAACATTCCAGATGATGCTAACTCCCGAGTTAAAAACAAATTTCACATCACCCTTCTACGTCTCTCTTGACTGGTCTTGAACCATGACTTTACCTATGGACACAAGATATCATCCTCGCCACATAAGAAACTCTACAGTGTTGCAACAGCTCCAGTCTCCTTCCTAACACCTGATAGAGGTTAAACCAGACCCTATATCTTCTCTTCATCACAAAAATCCATCTCCTTCCACCCTACAACATTATTCAGATTTGCCTTTTTTTAACCAATTTGCTGCTGAAATATTCAACCATGCATTTGCCACCTCCAATCTCTGCTGCAATGTTCACCTGATCAGCCAATCATTCTCCAACCTCTGTAAGGTCTAACTCTGCTGGCCATGTCCTGTACTACACCAAATCCTGTTTGCCCATCATCCTTTTATATAAAGTGTCTCTCGGTTCCCCAAAGCTCCATGTCAAAAATTCTGATCCCAATGTTGAAATGTTGAAATCCATGTCATTCATTATGTCTGTAACTTCTTACAGCCCTAAAAATCACTGCCACTCCTCCATCAAAGTCTCTATTCCTCTTACTCTAGTAATCTTCAATTCTCTCAGATCCATGGACTGAAAGTCCTTTATCTAACCTACCTCTCCTCTTTTCTCACCTTCCTTAAAATACACATTGTTTATCAAGCTTTTGATTATTAAAATCTCTCCTCATGCCTCAATTTTATTTTAAGACCAATTTTTGTCTAAACAAACGTCTTTGAATCAGTTCAACTAATTTCCCTACATTTTTATTGTTATCAGTGATCATCCAAAAAGAGATATCACTAAACGTTACCATATTGCATTGGAACAAAAACAGAAGTTGCTAGAAAAGGTCAGCAGGTCTGTGATGAAAAAAAATCAGAGTTAACGTTTTGGGTCTGGTGACCCTTCCTCAGAACCCTTAACGTTAACTCTGATATTTTCTTTGCAGATATGGCCAAACCTGCTGATCTTTTCTCGCAACTTCTGTTTTTGTTCCTGATTTACAGCATCCGCAGATCTTTCAATTTTTACATTGCATTGGTATTCCTTTGCTGCAGATACAGTCTGTAAGTAAATAGAAGTTCTGGCTTTGATACATTTATGTGTATGTGTTTCAAATTTGGATAGAGTGTTCTGGTAGGTTATAACAGTTCAATCACATCACAACATTCTTTACATAATGCATGTTTCTAAATTTGTACAATCTTATCAAGTCTCAATTGCCCACATATCTAAGGACTAAACAATGAGGAAAAATTAGATTCACAATTTTGGCAGAATTCATCACAGTCAACAGGAAGAAACAGAAAAAACACTAAGTATTAACAATTGATTTTTTTGACACAGTCCAGGATGCTTGGAACATTTTCAGTCATTAGTAAATGTTTTAACATTATACAGTAAGTGCACCAAAATAAGAAAGTGATCACAAACAAACACAATCATCAGAAGGTGGGTATGGGAGTTGTCCACTTCTCCAATCGTCAGCCTTTCAATATCCAAAAATGACACCTTGTCTATACAAATACTATTTCCTGCCAGGAGCTGCCATAGCAAAGACATCATGGCCTCAGAATTCATTGATTCATTAGGATAAACTTAATCTGTCTGAAATCATATTAGATTGACTATTGTTGTATTGGTTTAGACTTTTCAACCTCATTCTGGTAGCAAACATTTCAGGATTATTTTCAACTTTACAGTTTAAGCAGTAACCTGGTGCAGTCAAGTGTTACAGAAATCAATGGGACAAAAATTGAGCTGGTGTTCTAAAGGGTGAGGGTTCTGTTCTCCCAGATTATTGTCCAGGCAGTAAAGCCGACAATTCCTAAAACACCTAATGTGTGTTCTTCAAAACATGCAAGTTATATAAGATCATTGGTAGTGTTTTTAAAGACTTGAGCATAAAAGTAAAAGTAAAGGTATCTGTACCGGCAGATAGACAGCAAACATTCTTCAATTGACTCCCTCTGGGCTTTGGTAAGACCAGGTCCTTTTGATAGTCTGTAAATTGTGTGCAGGGTGGAGTCTATCACAGAGGCAAAGTGCTCAGTTCCAGCAAATAGAGGTGCACATCTGGTGAGAAGAGGAAGGACTGCTGAACAGATATATCTATTAAGGGCAAGAGCTGTCTCTGATGTGCTCAAAGCAGCCTGTTGGAAAAGACAAACAAATATTCAGAGAAAAGTATTATATTTGCTTTTTCTCCATTTAAATCTATGAACAAGACAACAAAAATAAATTAGAACAAGAATCACTGGCCTGAATCTTTCACACTTAGATGCACCGCATTATGTCACTCTAATTGTTACAATATCTTCAAAGGTGCATCATGTCACTAGGATGACTGTATTTTAAATTGTTGCAACTAGGTTTGGTCTGGGGTATCAGTTTAGGTTGATTAAAATGTAAAGTTTTTCCTTTACATTCAAATTCCACTGTCCCTCATCTAAGAAAACATCACGTAAGTGTTTCTGGCTGTCTCTGCTCTTGCATATACTGTGAAACTAGTGTATATTTATTTGAGTTATGCAAGGTAAAGTCACCACAACCCCTCAGGGTTGCTCTCTTATTAGACAGACAATCATTGGTGAGTTTAACCCAAGAGTCGCCATGCCTCAGATAAGGAGTGAGGTTAAGAAGGTGGAAGCTTCCTGGTAACCTCAGCCAATGTGGGAATTGAACGCATTCTGTTAGCGTCACTCTGTATTACAAACCAACCACTCCGCCAACTGAGCTAACTGACAGAACATCTGTCCAACATACACCACCTTCATTTAAAATATATTCATTCATATATCCACCACTGGCCAACCTAATGAGCATAAGAAGTTTACAGTCATATGAAAAAGTGTAACGAATATTAACTGTTCACAACAGAAAGTCAAATATGCACAGCTTTGCAAGTTTTACTTTGACTTACTGATTCAAGGGAGGCAGATGCTCTTAAATCAGGTAAAAATCCAACTTCCAGCAAATGAAGCAGGAAACTTTGGTCCTCAATACCATAAACACGATCCAGAAACAATACCATGGGTGCCTTGTGGTCAGGACAGAAACTTCCAGACATAGATGGCTCAGAAATAGTTCCATCTGCCAAAGCACCAAAATGCTGGTTAGTTGCAGTTTAAAAATAGTTTCAAATTGTTCAGGTATTGTGTTAAATATGATCAAATTACTGACACCAGTCCAATAACAACAATTTCTCCAAGTCTCTTTTGCCACTTTGTCTTCTGAAGGTATTGACTCTGCCTGGTTAACAGGGTTCATGAATGACACTCACTTTTTGTCATCTCACCCGAGTGTCAATTTTTCCTTTGGGAGTCCAGTCAAAATGGCTTGCCTACTTACCGATAACTTTTCGGGCATGTCCTGGGAACATACAGGAATATAGGAACAGGAGTAGACCATTCTGCCCCTCGAGCCTGTTCCACCATTCAATGTGATTACAATTGATCTGTGGCCTAACTCCATATAAGTGCCTTTGGCCCATACCCCTTAATACCTTTGCTTAATAAAAAAGCATCTATCTCCTAAAATTAACAATTGATCCAGCATCTATTGCTATTTGTGGAAGAGAGTTACAAACATCTTTGCACGTAGAAGTGCTTCCTAATATCTCTCTTGACTGGTCTGGGCCTAATTCTCAGACTGTGCCCCTTTGTTTTAGAATTGCTAACCAGTAGAAATAGTTTATCTTTATCTACCCTGTCTTTCCCTGTTAATATCTTGATGAAGGCTTCGATCAGATCATCCCTAGAGAAAACAGGGCTAATTGGTATAATCTGTCCTCATAACTTAACCTCTCATGTCCAGATATCAGGTTTATAAACCTATGCTGTACTTCCTTTAAGGCCAATATATCATTCCTAAGGCGTGGTGCCCAGATTGCTCACAATACTCCAAATAGGTTCGAGCCAGGATTTTGTATAACTACAGCAAAGCTTCTGCATCATTGTACTCCAATTCTCCAGATATAAAAGCCAACATTCCATTAGCTTTCTTCTGCTGTAGGATCCTCCACAACTCAACAAATGCAGGAATCCTCACAGGGAACAGCACAGTGAATCTTTGTGGAAGCCAGCCCAATTTTTTTAATAGAACTATAGAATCTCTATAATTCAGATAGAGGCCATTCTGCCCATCAAGATTGTACTGATCCTCTGAAGAACATCCCATCCAGACCTATCCCACCACCCCTCCCATCCCTGTAACCCTGCATTTCTCATGGCTAACCCACCTAGTCTGCATATCCCTGGACACTTCAGTTAATTTAGCATGGCCAATCCACCTAACCTGCACATCTTTGGACTTTGGGAGGAAACCAGAGGTCATGGAGGAAACACACGCAGACGAAGGGAGAATGTGCAATCTCCACACAAGTAGTCACCCAAGTCTGGAATCGAACCTGGGTCCCTGGCACTGTGAGGCAGCAGTGCTAACCACTGTGCTGCCTTTGGCACTATTTTTTGTGGCACTAGTTGTCATATTCTGTTAAGTGATCATAATTTAAATGTCCAAAGCCTCTTTGAAGGACTAGTCAGGCGAGTGTGTTATATAAATGGGTGAAAAAGTAGGGTGATTAAGGAGGCACAGTGATAGGTAGATGGGTGGTGGGATAGGGTCACAGATAGGTGAAAAGAGTTCTGCAAGGCCTTTAGAACTCTGGAGCAAACTTTTCATGATGGCATTCAGCTGATTGTCACTTGGAATAAATAGCACAGAGTGGGAGGAGTTAAACGAGAAAGAAGAGAGAAACATGTGGAGAAGACTGATTACCATTAGGCAGTAGAGTTTACCAATTTAGAGCCTAGTAGACCTTTGATTACATTATGCAGCAGTATTTAGACTTAATATGTAATAAATAGTGTTACAAAGAAGGCCGCAGTCAGTTCTTGATATTCTCTTCCCCTTGAGTAGTCTGTCTTGAACCCAAACTTATCGGTGTGAGCATAAAAGTGCACAACAAACAAAGTGGGTAGAGTGTCAGGTGAGTGGGAGTTAGGGTGGCACATGAGTGAGAGCGTATGATGGCAGGTGGGTGAAGTGGCAGGTAGATAAGTCGCTAAGTCAGGTCATGGGGGTACTTTGATCTTGGGGAATAGTGAGATCAGATGGGGCAAGAAATGGAGTGGTTAGGTAGGGAGTCTGGTAGCTAATCAGGATGGGTCAAGGGAAATTAGGGGTTAGAGATATGGTTAGGTCATGGTGGTGGCTGGGGATCAGGTGGTAGTCACATCTGTTTTTAAGCAGTAGTGAGATGGGACAGAGATAACAAATTTCTGCTGAAGGGTCCCGACCCAAAGCGTTAACTTTTCTGCTCCTCTGATGCTGCCTGCCCTGCTGTGCTCCTCCAGCTTCACACGGTGTTATCTCTGACTCCAGCATCAGCAGTTCTTACTATCTCTAGGTAGAATGGGGCAGTTAGTTATGGTGGAGTCAGAGGGTTGGGGAGTTGAAGGATTAGGAGAGGGTGTCAAATTGGATGATGTCCCATCCATCATCAGTGTTTAAGAAGGAGGGCGACAGAAGACAGAAAATATTCGGCTCGTTAGCCCGATCTCAGTCGTTGAAAAGATTTTAGAGTCCTTATCAAGGATGAGATTGCAGAGTACTTGGAAGTATATGGTAAGATTGGGCTGAGTAAAGGCAGATCATGTCTGACAAATCTGTTAGAATTCTTTGAGGAGGTAACAAGCTACTTAGATAATGGAGAGCCAGTGTACATAATCTAATTCGATTTCCAAAAAGCCTTTGCCACACAGGAGTCTTCCAAATAATATAAGAGTCCGTGGTGTTAGGGACAAGGTACTGGCATGGATTGAGAATCACCTGACTGGAAGAAGGTAGAGAGTAGGGATAAAGGGGTCCTTTTCACAATAGCAGCCAGTGACTAGTGGAGTTCCACAGGGTTCATGTTGGAACCACAATTATTAACGTTATACATTAATGATTTGGATGAAGGAACTGAAGGCGTTGTTGTTAAGTTTGCAGGTGACACAAAAATAAGTGGAGAGGCAGGTAGTGTTGAGGAAGTGGGGAGTTGTGGAAGAATTTGTACAGACTAGGAGAGTAGGCAAAGACATGGCTGATGGACTACAATGTCGAAAAGTGTGACATTATGTACGTTGGTAGGAAGCATAAAGGCATTGACTATTTTCTAAATGTGGAAAGGCTTCAGAAATCTGAAGCACAAAAGGACTTGGGAGTCTTAGTTCAGGATTATCTTATGGTTAACATGCAGGTTCACTTGGCACTTAGGAAGGCAAATGCAATGATACCATTCATTTCAAGATGGCTAGAATACAAGATCAGAAATGTACTGCTGAGGCTGTATACAGACCATACTTGGAATATTGTGAGCAGTTTCAGGCCCCGTACCTAAGGAAGGATGTGCTGGCATTGGAGGATATCCAGACGAGGTTTACAAGAATGATCCCAGGGATGAAGGGTTTGTCATATGAGGAGCTTTTGAGGACTCTGAGTCTGTACTCAATGTAGTTTAGAAGGATGAGGAGGAATTTGATCGAAACTTGCAGAATACTGAGAGGCCTGGATAGAGTGGATGTAAAAAAGATGTTTCCACTAATAGGAGACAGTAAGACCCAAGGTCCACTCACACAGCCGCTGAGTGATGGGATAACCGCTTAGAACTGAGATGAGGAGGAATTTCTTCATCCAGAAGGTGGTAAATCTATGGAATTCATTGCTGCAGAGGGCTGTGAAGGTCAAGTCATTGAATGTACTTCAGGCAGAGATAGATAAGTTCTTGATTGGTAAAGGAGTCAAGGGGTACAGGGAGAAGGCAGGAGAATGGAGTTGACAAACAAATCAGCCGTGACTGAATGGACCAGTTCTGTTCCTGTATCTTATGGTCTTATGGACACTTATACAGGAGTTAGATGTGGCTTTATCTAAGTTTTCCTGGGTAACTCTCTAGCTCAGTGAATCAGGATCCTCTGAAGTCTCTTAACTCTAAATCACAGTTGGGAACTTTTAAAGAGGGTTCCATATACTGGGAAGCTGCCCCCCTTGGATGTTTAAACTCCCCTATAGACACTGTGTCCTAGGAAATTCAACATGTACCTTGTGGGGCATTCACGATTGTCCAAAAGCCAGAAACTGGAAGACCTAGGTATAAAAGTGTCAAGATATTTTATCACGGGCAAAGATAGTTTGGTATCACAGCAAAGCCCAATCCTGCTTTCACATGATGTATGCATACAAGTCAGAAAGTATGGCAAACAGGAATGGGAAGTCTGGATGACACCCCTTTGTGAGCTAGAGTGCCATACTACTGAAGCTAAAATGAGAAATGAGGTAGTGGCATAGAGAATCAAGTCATAAAATAAGACAGTTAGAGGGGATGATCATTTTGTCTATAACCTATGCCACAAGCAATCACGTGTTCTACATTGTATAAGGCACAGTGTAATCCTCTTGCCATCAGAACATAATTTATCAGTTTACTACAAGGAACAACATGGAAATCTTCTGGTTTATATTGAAAATGATATGGTTTACAACATTACATTAGGATTTATAGCATACCTTGGTTAACAACTGGCAATTTCAGTGGAATACTAATAATGCCCACCAGATCCTTAGTTGGCACCAGGGAACGGAGTATTGCTCGGATTCGAATAGCTTCACCTTTACCTGCTTGGATTAGCTGATACAATAGTTAAATAGCAGTTCTATATGTAACAACAAGGATACAAATTCAAAATCAAAATAAATTCAGGAGTGTTACTGTTATTGTGCTTAAGACTTTAAAATGTATCATTACCACATTCCACAAATGTTCATGATATGAAATACTTCAGAAATGGATACTTTAACCTTGATTCAACACTCCGTAATCTCAATGAACTCAATAACATGTTTTTTTTAAAAATTACTTACATGCATTTCTGGAGCACATCGGCCAAGAAGATCAATCAGAGCAGAATAGAAGGTCATGATAGAATAACCCATGTGCACAACTTCTTCATCCTCCTCTTGACTACTGTTAAATAGGAGTTCATTTTACATAGGTTATTTGAATAAACAACAGTAAAATATGCAAACATTTAGCCCATAACCAAAACAGTGCATTAGGAAGGGAAGACCTCAGATCAGAAGAAAAATTTGTAGAAACTGTTTGGGTGGAATTCAGAAACAGCAAGAGACAGCAGACATTGGTTGAAGTGATTTATAGGCCACAAAATAATAATGACAGTGTGGGCATTGTATTTACAGGACATGGATGAAGCAAATAGCACAGGCAACGCAGTTATTATGGGTGACTTCAATCTGAGTTTAGACTGGATAAACTCATCGAGCACTAAAGCTGTGGAGCATGAGTTTCTGGAGTGTTTTAGGGATGCCTTTCTAGAGCATGATGCTGAGGAACCAACTAGAGGGCATGCTTTTTGAGATCTAGTATTATGTAATGAAAAAGAACTAGTTAATATTCCTGTTGTAAAAGATTGAATTATCCCAATATGATAGAATTTTACATTATTTTCAAAAGTGCAGCTGTTCTTCTGAAGAAAGGGTGTTAAATTTGATTACGGCAATTATTAAAACATTAGGCACAAATTAAGGAAAAGACATAGGCAATGGATAGTCATTAAAAAACCATTACAAAGAGTCATAGAAATGCACAGCACGGACACAGACGCTCAGGTCCAACTCATCTATGTGACCAGTCATCCTACGTTAATCTAGTCCCATTTGCCAGCATTAAGCCCATATCTCTCTAAACCCTTCCTATTCATATCCCCATCTAGATGCATTTTAAATACTGTAATTTTACCAGCCTCCACCACTTCCTCTGGCAGTTCATTCCATACACACGCACCACCCTCTATGTGAAAAAGTTGCCCCTTAGGTCCCTTTGAAATCTTTCCTTTCTCACCTGAAACCTATTTCCTCAACAATACATTTCTTCAAGGTCCAAAACCTCAAAAAAGGTCAGTTAACCAGATCTAATAAAGGAATATCAAGATTGTATAAGATTAAAGAAAAGCCACATAAAGTTGCCAAAAATATCAGTCGCTCTGAGAATTGGGAGGTGTATGGGTTACAACAAAGAATGACCAAAAAACTGATGAAGAAAAGGAGAACAGAATATCAATGCAATCTTGTAAAACACAGAAAGATGGATTGTAAATCTTGTATACGTATGTAAAAAGAAAATATTTGGTTAAAAAAATGTGGATGCATTACAGGCAGAGTCAGGAGGATTTACAACGGGGAAAAGAGAAACTAAATGATTACATCATGTCTGTTTTCACTGAGGAAAATACAAGGAATTTGGAAAAGAGATCCAAGTGGAGAGGGAGAATTAGAATTGAAGGAAAATTAGCGTTAGTAAGAATATCGCACTGGAGAAATTAACAGGGCTGAAAAATTGTAAATCCCCATGACATAATGGTCGACATCCCAGAGTGTTGAAGGAGCTGGCTACAGAGATAGATAGTGCATTGGAGATAATCTTCCAAAATTCTGCAGATTCTGGAATGATTCGTATGGATTGAAAAGTACAAATGTGACTTTACTATTTAAGAAGGGAGCCAGAGAGAAAAAGTAAGGAACTACAGACCTGTCAGCCTTACGTCATTAAGAAGGGAAAATGCACGAATCTGCCATAAAGGATTGGATGAATAGATACTTGGTTGCTAATGAGATACAAATTTGCTGAGATGGATAGTCAATTATAAATCTAATTATGAATGGACAATTAGATTTGCAAATGGGCAATTGTGTTTGATGTACTGTTGGAGATTTTTTCAAAATGTTACAAACAAAGTATATAAAGAATGTAGAGATAGTAAGAACTGCTGATGCTGGAGTCAGAAATAACACAGTGTGGAGCTGGAAGAACACAGCAGGCCAGGCAGCATCAGAGGAACAGGAAAGCTGATGTTTCGGGTCAGGACCTTTCTTCAGAAATGCGGGAGGGGGAAGGGAGCTCAGAAATAATTAGAGAGAGGAGGTGTGGGGCTGGGTAAGGTAGGTGGGATGGTGATAGGTGAGTGTAGGTAGGGAATGGTGGGGATTGGTCAGTGAGGTGGAAGGAGCAGATTGGTGGGAGATAAGGTGGACAGGTTGTGTCAGGTAAAGGAGGTGGGGATGAGAGGGAGGGTTGGTCATGGAATGACCAGGGGGTGATTTTGAAGCTGGTAAAGTCACATTTAGGCGATTGGGCTGTAGGAACCCAAGGCGCATTATGAGGTGCTGCTCTCCCAGTTTCCAGGTGACATCATTCCCCACCACTGCCTACCCGCACTCCACCTATCACCATCCCACCTACCTTCCCCAGCCCCACCCCTCCCTCTCTATTTATTTCTGAGCTCCCTTCCCCCTCCCTCATTTCTAAAGAATGGTCCCGACGCGAAATGTCAGCTTTCCTACTCCTCTGATGATGCCTGGCCTGCTGTGTTCCTCCAGCTCTATAATGTGTTATCTCTATCTATAAAGAATTTTGTATACTTTGATTTTCAGAAGGATTTTCATTAAGTCCCCCAGAGAGGATGTTTAGAAAAATTAAAGCGCATACGATAGGTGGTAATATACTGGCATTGATTAACGATTAGTTAAGAGACACAAAACAGAGAGAAGATCTAAATGGGTCATTGCCACTTTGGCGGCCTGTGATGAGTGAAGGTACCACAAGGATTAGGACTTGAACCCCAGCTGGTCATAATCTATATCAATAATTTGGAGTTAGGGACCAAATATAATTTTTAAAATTTGCTGATGATACAAAGCTAAGTGGGGATGTGAGTTAGAAGGAAGATGCAAAGCAGCTTCAGGAAGATTTGGATAGGCTCAGTGAATGGACAACAATATTGCAGAAAAATATAATGTGGAAAATGCTGAGGTATCCAATTCGCAAGGACGTGCAGAGTATTTAAGAGATCGGAAAGTTTAGGTGCACAAAGGGGCCTAAATATCCTTATTGATAAGCTAATATACAGGTGCAGCAAGCCATTAGGAAGGCAAATGGAAAGTTACCCTTTATTTCCTTCAGTTCAAATCTTTGCAAATGCAAATCAGCATAAAATCCACAACTTGACCTGAAATTCAACTTTTTAGATCAGTGCCTCCTAAATGTACTCCCTAGTGTAGCTGGGGTGGGGGGAAAGACCTAAGAGAGAAGAGAGGGATGTTGTCAGCAACTTAGATACTGCAATATCAGAATTTCAGCTTTGACCGCACCCCCCCTCCCCAATTTGGCGACACTCACTTTGGGAAGCCTGGTTTCATATGTTATTCTTATGATGAAAAGCATAGAAAGTTATTAAAAAGTCATTTATAATTCTTGCTTTTTTTAAATTCCTGTTTTACTGTTCATGAGAATTCTTCAATATGATTGGTTGATCAGTCTGTCTTGTGGCTCCACTAACACTGGGCATGGCAGATAGTATCAGATTCAAAGTCATATAAAAGTAAAGAATATATTGATGCTGTAGATCCTATTAAAATCTTTGTGGGAAACATATTATAGCCTTTGTTGCTAACTGCAAAATTTCAGTTAATATGTAAACAAAGATTTTGAAATAGATTGAAATTTTACCCAAATAGACAGCTTTATACATAATCGTTTTAAACCATCAAATATAGAACAGCAATGTGTTACAAAGGAAATGAGGACTCACCCATCCTCCTTAACTTCAGCTGGAGGGAGGTCACGGCATGGATCTTCTGAGATTTCAATCGCATCTTTCATTGCGGCTAACAAGCCATGTCCTCCTTCACCCCTCAGAGCAGGACCAAAGCACTCTGGACGACGAATCAACAACTTCACCACAACACTTGCATTTTCTTCAACACTTTCACCTTGAAGAACGGTAGGATTCATTTTTACACGACAAATTCACTAAAACATTTAATGTTCAATCTAGAGAAGCAAAATGGGAAAGGGCTTCAGACCAACAGCAATGCCTGTCTGAATATCTCACTTCATAATTCAATGGACATTAACTTTCAGAAGTGTTGAGCCCTGGATTGATGTGAAAAGTTGTATTCAGAACTCAGCACTCTGGACAATATCAAAAAAACTTCAACTCTTTCAATGGCTATTGTGGGCTTGGATGGTTTACCGAAGAGAAACAGACCTTTAAAAGTATGTATCTCTCATATCAGCTGTCTCAAAAAGGTTACCAGTTACAGTTAGCTTGTGGTACTTGATGCCACTACTTAAATTGAACAGGCGTTGCGATTACAGCAGTTGCAATTCATTCTACAACTGATTCCAACTTAAAAGAGACTGAAGGACAGCAAAACAAATATGATACTATAAACTTCAGGACTTCAGTAACTGTTCACGGATGGAAAGAAGCAATGTTCAGCACCATCTCCTCCATTATGGTTTAGGATGTCTGGATCTGCCTGTGTAGCTCCTGCTGTCTCTGGTTGTGATGGCTTTTAGTTATGCATCGTGGACAAGTAGGTGCAGTGATGTTCAGTGATGGAGGAAAGGGAAGGGTGTAGAATCACTAGAGAACAGAGAATTACGGGGTATGGTATTACACACCATTGAGTTCATTACAGAAGGTCCAGATTAATAAAAAGGATTGTTAATGTTGCGTCCCTCTCCCCTTCCTCCTTTACTACCATTAGCACATCCTTTTCTTTGCTCTGAGCACCTTCACCATCTCACTCATTCACTTATTCCTCTCACCCTTCTGTCAATAGCTTAAGAACTATTATTTTTCCCTTTCAGTCTGACGTAGAGTCGAAACATTAACTTCGTTTTTCTCTTTCCTTGGATGCTGCCAAACCTGCTGAGTTTCTCCAGCATTTTCTGCTTTTATTCCAGAATTGGAGCAGCTGCAGTATTTTGCTTTGGTTCGTGCAGAGGTGCAATGTCAGCAAAAATTACTCAAACTTCTGCCAAACTGGTTCCTGTAAACTAATGCAACAACTGAAAGTTCCAAAATCTTATCTTGTAGCAACAGCCAGAAGACAGCCATCAGCAATTAATTTGTAAGTAGACGGTCCTTTTAAATAGTGAGGATGTGCATGACTGGAAACTGAACACTGGAATCGAAAACGGTAGGACTACTGGCAAATCAGTAATCTATTTTGATTGAAATTATGATCTGCTTTTTCGCCCACCTCCAGTGGGCATTCACTGTATGCTCACTAATGCCCTTGCCAAAATGGCACCCACCATGTCATGCCTCCAGAAGTGTGTTGTGTCTCCAATGTTATCTGGGATCTTAAATGACTCTTGGCCCCACCAATCAATGTTTTTGCACCATAACTCTCATTCTTTTAGCTATAGCTTCCTTCAAGAAAAGGTGTGGCACAATGGGTAGCATTGGGTACCTCTGAACCAAAAGTTCTTGGTTTAAGCCCCAGTACAGAACTCAATGGCCAAACAAGTTCATAATGTAGCCAAAAAAGTTGAGTATTAATCTGCAAATCTCCCCAAATGAGTTTCTAATGCAGCAAAAAAGATTGGGTATCAACCTGCAAATCTTTCCAACAAGTGCCAATGGAGACTGTGAAAAGCAGAAGAGATTCCTGGACAACCATGTGGCTAAAAAGATGTTGGAACCTATAAATATCGTGGCTCCAGGCTACAACATGCATGTAAAAGTGTATGCTGTCACAGCAATACAAACTCCTTACGGACAGAGGGGTTGAGAGCCAGTGGCTGGTGTGCATCAGATTATGCTAACAGTGCAGGGTTCAATCTCCATTCTAGCAGGGGTGGATTCAAGACATACTTCATGCAGATCAGGGTACTGTGATTTAGACCTGCCTTTGGGTAGAGAATTTAAGAAGAAGTAGTCACCTTCAAGATCTGGTCTCCCAAGAGTTCTACTCATTTATTCTGAGAATAGTACCCCTTTTAAATGTTTTTCCATTACAATTGCCAATGTTATAAAACAATTGCTCTCTCCCCCAAGCAGTGCTATTTCAGAATGAAATTGCCTTAAGTTAAGATTACAGTTATGTTAATTATTTGAAGTGACAATTTTATTTTGTTGAAGGGGGAAATAGGCTATTTCAGGATGGATTGCAAAGTAATAGGATGAATGGTGGGACAAGAGAAGAGGACCGTGGTATCTCTAACACTGGGCTTGATTTTAATTCTGTGCAAATGAATGGGTTTTGAGTGAAACTACATCTGCTCCCTTCCCCTAATCATTGTGTTTCAGTGACATATTTCTGTGACACATTTAATTCTCAACTGTAGTTCAGCTGCAAACTAATTCAGCAGGTGAACTTTTTCATCCCCTTTTTGCTATTGGTAATACTTTCTTTCAGCCAAACAGGAGAAATAGACAAAAATGGGAAAAAAAATTGCAAAGAGAAAAACAGTAGTGCAAAGGCATTAGATTTAAACCAAAGGAAAGGACCATGGAAAGAGACAGAGAGATAAGCAAGAAAAACTGAAATGACAATGGAGAGAAAGATTTTTGCTGAGAGAATTTTGCCGGTCGAATTCTCAGTGCCGTTGCTGCTGACAACACTAATTTAAAGTCATTGATTTCCAAATCTAACATCATCAGCAACCAATCTTTTTGTGCATGCCATAAGTGTCTGTACCTTCTCCTTACCTATTCATTATGGAATAACTTGTTGTATGACTTGTAATGTTAGAGGTAGGGCCCCATTCCAAGACATGACATATCACAGCTAATCAGGTTGAGTGTCAACCTCCAAATCCTTCTAACCTACAGTAGTGGCAATTAGTAACATAAAGAGAGATTCCTGGCCAGGCATGTGATGGAAAGAATGCTTGAGCCTCCACCATCACCACGCATAGTCTTACGTTATAACTTGCATGCTATCACAGCAGCCTGGACTCTGAGTGAACCACAACACATCACCACCATTAATTGACAGTAAATTGTTTTCTGGAGCAGCATGGCCCAGGGGAGACCGGTGACAAGGAGCCACTGTTATTGAAAACAATTCTGTTCAACGTCAGACAAAGATGAATGAGACAATATGTCAGAATAAAAAGAAAAGGAGAAATGGAATGGAAGGAGGTAAAAAAAAATAAGAGAAAACTAGCAAAATATTGCTCCAATATCAAATCCATGCCTTTTCAAGACTTATAATTTCCATGACTCTTTATTTTACCATGATTAATCCAGACTTTTTTTCTAAAGCTTACCAAACAACTATGTTAAGAAGTCAAGGTATCAAACCTACCATTGACAAACACTGCAAATCGTAAGAAAAGCAGATAACGTTCCCCTTCAATAGGATTCCAACCAACATCAGGATAACCCTTAGCCACCAGCATGGGACAACTTTGTAAGCCACAGCCAGCCAGGTAAGTCACAACCTGTCAAATGTAAATATTATTTTTGTCATTCATGCCTCTTTACATAACAATTACATAACAATTTTAGTTAAATGATTTAGTCATGAGATTTTAAAATCCTAATGTTTCATCTTATATCATCACAATGCAGACCTTCATAAGTCAATATTCAGTATAAAACAGTAAAATTACTGGTGTTTCATATTACCGTTTTAACAAAGACCTTATGAGTATAAATTGTCACAACCTGTAAATCTACATACTAGTGCAATTTGTTTTCTACATTTGAACTTGAACTGACATAAGTAATGGACTGGCTGAAGTTAATAAATAGGGAATAGGTCCAATGGTCTGAGTGAAATATAATTCGTGAACAAATTAAAATATTTCATACTATATTAAAGATAAGTAGTTGCACATTCATGCTAGTAATTAACATTAACACTGTAAAAATGCAGAGAAAATGATAGAAAACAAACAATAGTTCTGTCCATTTAAGGTCTGTCCACAAACATCTCAGTAGTTCCTCTACTGTTAAATTCTGCAAATAAACATTTGCTTTAAAAATCCATTCTTAATGTGAGTGGTACTTTCATAATTTGGAAACCAGCATATCGCTATTATAGAATTGCTCCTCAAAAGCAGGTAATGCAGGGGGATCTTTTTATTTATTTGTTCTTAAGCAGTACTGCACCTGCACTTTCTCTAAAGACTTTTTTCATGTCTGCTACTTTATGAGGAGGCTGTAGCAATATAAATTTCAAATCCCTGACTTCAGAGAACTTTATATATAGATTATTCAACAATAGGACCTGGTACATTTCAGGGCTAACAGCTGGCACAAACATTTCACGTTATTGATTTTAGAAACGCTGTTTAGATGAAAATACATTTTAAATTCAGGCTAGTGTTGTCAAGATTGGTTGTAATATTTTACTTTGTGAGCAAAGAAAAAAGTTTTTCCTGAATTTGGGATAACTGCAGAATGTTATTAGTGTGTGATGGAAGCAGCAGCACTTTCATGTAAGTTAACTTCAACACTCTCTCCCATTATATCCCATCAACAATCTGTCAATGATTATGTGTAGGCAAAAAGGAAACAAAGACACACATTTTAAAAACTTCTGTCACTACCTCTGGATGCCCTAAAGTGTTTACAGCCAATTAGTAGTTTTGAAGTGTCGTCACTTTCTCAGACAAAAACACATGGTTGTCACAGTGACTGACAATTGAAATCATTCATTTAATCTTTCTTGGGTGATTTACCATCTCAGTACAGAAAGTTCATCCTGTCACCTTCACCCCCAAACCCAATGCCTCTCCCCACCAACCCACATCCAGCCAAGTGAAAACACTTAGCTGCCTCATGCATCCAGAACCAAAGGGAAACTTTAAGGTCAAAATTATTCTTCCTCTACCAGCACCCTGGTACACTTGCCATTATCGGTCAGTACATTGAGCACATGAGTTGGGATGTCATGTTGCAGCTGTACAGGATTGCTTAGGCTACTTTTGGAATACTACATTCAGTTCTGGTGTCCCTGCTTTAGGAAAGATGTTGTTAAACTTAAAAGGGTTCAGAAATGATTTACAAGGTTGTCACTGGGTTTAGAGGGTTTGAGCTATAGGGAAAGGCTGAATAGGATCGGACTATTTTCCCTGGAGTGTCGGAGGCTGAGGGGTGATGTTATAGAGGTTTATAAGATCATGAGGGGCATGGATAGGCTGAATAGCCAAGATCTTTTTCCCAGTGTAGGACAGTCCAAAACTAGAGGGCATAGATTTAATGTGAGAGGGGTAAGATATAACAGGGAGCTAAGGGGCAACTGTTTCATGCAGAGGGTGGTGAACGTATGGAATGAACTGCCAGAGGAACTGGTGGAAGCTGGTACAATTATAACATTTAAAAGGCATCTGGTGTTTGATTAGGAAGGGTTTAGAGGGATAAGGGCCAAATATTAGCAAATGGAATTAGATTCATTTAAGATATGAATGAGTTGGACCAAAGGGTCTGTTCACATGCTCTACAACTGTATGACTCATTTTTCTTCATATCCACACTTCACTTGTCTTTTGTTCATCTACTGATTGACATAATTCTCTCCACTTTACTGTGCTCTCCAACAGATTGCAGTGGAGTTTAAGGAAGAGATGGCATCCTAGTCATTGAACAACAAAATGGATCGTACCGTTGGTAACAGAATGTAGATGGAACGGATAAGCGAACACTGCTAGGATTTGGGGGAACAAATTGACTGAGCAGAAAAAAAATGTCCAAATTCAAAGCAACTAAATTGGTTTAGTGGTTTCTTAAACAATTCTTTGTGATTTGAGGAGGCTTGCTACACAAAGATGGATGGACCCAACTGGCAACAATGGACCTTCTTTTTCTGATTGTCAATAGTGCAGCATTTGCAATCACTCTTTGCTTAAATTTGAATGAAGTTCAATAGTTAAATTGTCAATATTATGGTATTGGTACAGTATACTTTCAGCTGGATGCATTCACATTGCTCTAGACAAAACTAGAAAAAGAAAACATAACCGCGTATTAGATGCATTACCTTATCCAAATCAGGTTCTTGCAAGTCCAGAGCAAGCTCATTGTTATCCATGACGGAGGCAGCTGCCACATCCAAAGGAGTAGAACCTCGCATGCTGGGTGATGCTACATGCAGAAAGCAAATAGGTTTAATCTGATATAAACTCTACCACTTAGGTCAAATAAATCAGCCTTCAGCAGCCAATATACGTGGTGTGAATATGTGAGACAGTAGAGTTGACACAGAGAAACGTATTTGCGCTTTGACAATTCACACAATAGAGGGCAGTCTTTCCCAAATTTACCAATGGAGTACAACTGTCTAGCTGGTGGAACGTGGCTAGAGAATTCCAGGGTCAAATTCACTAAGCAGCCAGGCTATCCATCATTCAGCTTGTGTGCTGCTCAATTATTTTTCACTTTCTACTAATAATGTTGTCATGACATAACTAAGTATTTTCATTTAAGTAAGTGCTCATATTATATATTAATGAAGGAGGGAGAGAATGCATATTACATACTCCTGCTCCAATTTCTTCTATTCTGAAAAATACAGTCTGCACTAAAAGCTGCATTACAGGCAAAACATCAGTGAAAGAAATAGGGGAGAAAACATCAAGAAAATGTTGCAGCTTTTTGAACCAGGTGCCCAAGCTGGAAGTTCAATACAGAACTTTTGCAAAACCCTGTTACTAAAAAGACAATTTTTTTGTTCTAATCGGAATCTAAAAAGCATTCTCTGCCAGCTTTCCAACTATTTGAACAGGTGAAAAAGAAAGACCTCAGCCCTTGGCAAACATAGACTGCAGAAACCAGAGATCTTGTCTCCTCCTGACCTCTGAGCACAAGATCAGTGTTGTGACACCTATCTATTCACATGAAACGACCTCATCGGTTAAAATTAAACTAGGTACCCAGTCCAAAGCTGCTATTTTCCAGCAAGTAACTGAGATGGTCAAACATGGCCTTCTGGTTCAGGCGGCTAATACGACAGAAGTAGCAGAGGAATCGACAGCAGCTAGCCACCATTTCAGGGAAAGCAATCTCCTAAAACAAAGACAAAAGACAGATTTTAAATAAAAACATTGCTTAGCACAAAGCAAAAAAGTAAACACCAAGCTTAAACACAACCAAGTGAAATTCTTTACTTGCAGCTGAGTGTAAAATTTATTTTTTTTAAATCTATGCATATTGTCAAACATGAATTGGAAGGAATAAATGCCAAATAACCCAGGATACGTTATCCTCAGTAATACGTTTTTGATTAAGGCAAATCTCTTTTCAACATTCACCTTGTGAGACACGATGGCAGTTAAGCCAAGAGTTGCGCTAAAGTGCGGGAAAAATCTCTCAACGGGCTAGACTTTGACTTTGTACAATAGCAAAAAAGGAGAGACAGTAAATCAACAATCTATTTCACATTGATCCTGATTTGTGTAGCTTTTGTTTCACTATCTCCTCTGTTTCACATTATTGTTTTACACTGCATGTGATGATCTACCCAAACCAACTTATCTTCCCTCCAACAGGTGACTAGCTCAACTGAAATGCTTGTCTAAGATTTTGGGATTTGAACTTAGCTCCACAGATGTCTCATTTCCTTAAAACATTTAAGAGGGAGAATTGCTATACGGCAAAGATGGTGCAAGTATTCACATGACTAGAGGAGTTGTATTGTCGGTGGATATCTTTTAGGGCTGGATTTTCAAGAGCATGGCATTTCCTGACTCAGCTGACCTACCTCAGGTTAGAGGGACCCACTGGATCCAATCCAAATACGGGCGGCACTGTAACACAGTGACTAGCGCTGCTGCCTCTTAATGTCAGGGACATGAGTTCAAATTCCAGCTTTGGGTGACTGTCTGTGTGGAGTTTGCTTATTCTCCGACTGTCTAAGTGGGTTTCCTCCAGGTGTTCCAGTTTCCTTCCACAGTCCAAAGATGTGTAGGTTAGGTGGACTGATCATGCTAAATTGCCCATATATCCAAGGATGTGTGCAGGTTAGGTGGATTAGTCATGGTAAACGTGGGGTTACAGGGAGAGACTGGGGTAGCGGAGGTGGGTATGGATCTGGGTGGGATGCTCTTTGGAGGATCGGTACGGACTCGATGGACTGAATGACCAGTTTCTGCACTGTAGGAATTTTGTAATATAATCCTTATTCAAGGAAGTGGGAACAGGATTGAGCAGGCCCAGTGACCTTGTGAGCAGACCCAATGCAGCCATAGGGACAATCAAGAAATGTGTTGAGCTGGGTGGTAGGCCTACCTAGGTTCTTTGGGACTTTGTCCCCATTTTTAGAGATTTTTGACCCTCTAAGCACACCTGTCACACCTTTTCACATGTGACCCACTGACTCACATCACTTCAAGGTTGAAATCTGCTCTTTCACACGTTTAGCAACTTGAAACAAACTTGAACAGTTAATGTCAGGAGAAAACTTTTTTGAGCTTTATTTAGAATAATAGAGTCATAGATTCCGAGCTTTTAGAAAAGTGGCAGAAACTCTCTGAGAATGTAAATGATCAGGTCAGCTTTAGCCATGTGTTTAAATGGGCTTTATTATCTTCTGCCATCCAGTGAAACAATAACATTAAGCAAAAACATGTTTCCGGTATCTCCCTTAACAAGTAGAATAAAAATATTAATCGGCATGTTGGTCCATAACATTACCACAGTATGAGTGGAATAGGATCTAACTCCTGGGATGAGAGGATTTTCCTATAAGGAAAGGTTGAGCGGGTCAGGTCTCTATTCAGAGTTAAAGAATGGGACATGATTTTATTGAAATGTAAGATTTTGAGGGGTTCCACAGCAATAGGTGCTGAAAGATTATTGAGCCCTGTCCCGATGGGAAAAGTGCCTTCCTGACCACTTTATCTATGCCCTCACTGTCTTGTACATGTCTAGCAAGTACTTCTCACTTGCACTGATCCAAGAAAAACAACCAAAGCCTATCTAATCTTTCCTCACAGACAGCATCTTGATAAATCTCCTCTGCAGTGCAATCATATCCTTCCTATAATATGAGTGACCAGAACTGCACACAGTACTCCAGTTGTGGCCTGCTACACCAGCATAATCTCTTTGTTTGTGTTCTATTCCTTATCTAATAGATGCAAGGATTCCCTAGGCCTTCTTAACAACCTATCTATTGTCCCTGCTACCTTGAAGAATCAATGGACACGTACACCGAGATCATTCTGATCTCCAGTATATTATGGTCCTACCATTCACGCTGCAATCCCCTGCCTTGTTAGCTCTTCCCAATCACATTACTTCACATTTTCCAGGTTAGATTTAATTTGCTCCTGCTATATCCACTGGATCAGTCCATTGACACCCTCCTGCACTTCACAGCTATCCTTCTCACTATTTACCACCCTACTAACTTTCTGTTATCTATGAACTGCTTGATCATAAACTTGGACTTAAATGTAGAGGTTAAGTCCGCTAAAAAGGCAAGATTTTAACCCACTTAGAACCCATTCAACTACAGAGTTAAAATCAGACTCTTAATTCCAATGATATCAGCAGCTACTTTTCCCACAGGCTTATTCATCAAATGAATATGGATAAATACTGTAGGTTCAAGTCAAATTGCTTTTAGAGCATTACAGTTCTGTAAAGACTTTTATGTGATCAATGCAAATTACCTGTGATTTATTTCCTCCAAGCACATTCACCATGACGTCCATGACTGTTTCATGCATGCCTAGCACTCTCATTAAATTTGGGTGTTGATAGAATACTTTGTTGTTCATGATATCCCTGAAGAATATGCAATAACAAGACTGAAATTAGTACATGTGACCTTTGATTTACCTGAAATTAGGAGCTAAATGTACTAAATCTGTTTTTATTTTTAAGGTCAACAATTCTCACTTTCTCCCTTAGGATGATGGCTGCCAGCTTCTAGCAGCACTGAGAATTCTTAATAGAGACACTATTGACACCTGAGCCATTGCAGTGAATGTTTGCATGCTGTTTGATCAAACACCAGTGCGGCTAAGTCAGGTTCTATCCTTGCTTATCCTCAAACTTTCAGCATCTTGTGGGCAACATCGTGGCTCATTGGTTAGCACTGCTGTCTCACAGCACCAGACCTAGGTTCGATTCCACCCTCGGACAACTGTCTGTGGGGAGTTTGCACATTCTCCCAGTGTCTGTGTGGATTTCCTCCAGGTGTTCTGGCTTCCTCCCACAGTCTAAAGATGTGCAAGTTAGGTGGAATAGCTATGGCAAAGGAGGGTTACAGGGATAAGGTAGAGGGTGGGTCTGGGTGGGATGCTCTTTGGAGGGTCAGTGTGAACTCAATGAACCAAATAGCCTGCTTCCATGCTGTAGGACTTCTATAATTCTACATGTGAAAGATAGTCATTGGTTGTCTGGTCAGTTTTTCCGTCCAAAATTGAAAGTTAGACCAATTGTACCACTATCCCAATTAGCATTGATTAACCTGAACAAAACTAGGCGTCAAACATAGCAAAATCTCCTTGCTTACCCACTGGGAAAAGCTCCATCTTCTGTGATATGCCAAATGCCTGATTGCTATAACTGGCTCATATCTTACATCTCTGTCTTTTTAACCCCATATTTCCTCAGAGGAAAATCAGAATTCATTACAGTAAAACATTATCTTACAGACGGTTCCTCTTTATTATTCACTCATGGGACGCGGGTGTTGCTGGCTGGCCAGTATTTATTGCCCATCCCTAGTTGCCCTTGAGAAGGTGGTGGTGAGCTGCCTTCTTGAACTACTGCAATCCATATGCTATAGGTTCACCCACAATGCCCTTCGGGATTGAATTCCAACATTTTGACCCTAGCAACAGTGAAGTAACGTTGATATATTTCCAAGTCAGGACAGTGAGTGGCTTGGAGGGAACCTGCAGGTGATGGTCCTTCTAAATAGAAGTGATCATCATTTTGGAAGGTATTGTCTAAGGATCTTTGATGGATTTCTGCATTACATCATGTAGATGGCACACACTGCTTCTATTGAGTGTCAGTGGTAGAGGGAGTGGATGTTTGTGGATGTGATACAAATCAAACAGGCTGCTTTGTCCCAGACGGTATCAAGCTTCTCGGCTGTTGTTGAAGCTGCACTCATCCAGGCAATTCGGGAGTATTCCATCACACTCCTGACTTGTGCCTTGGAGATGGTGGACAGACTTTGGGGAGTCAGGAGGCAGGTTACTTGCCACAGTATTCACAGCCTGCTCTTGTAGCCGCTATGTTTATGTGGTGAGCCCAGTTGATCTTCTGGTCAATGGTAAATCCAAGGATGTTGATAGCAGGGGTTTCAGTGATGGTAACACCATTGAATGTCAAGGATCAGTAGTTAGATTGTCTCTTATTGGAGATAGACATTGCCTGGCATTTGTGTGGTGCAAATTTTACTTGCCACTTGTCAGCCCAAGCCAGGATATTGTCCAGATTTTGCTGCTTTTGAACATGGACTGCTTCAGTATCTGAGCAGTCATGAATAATGTTGAACATTGTGCAATCATTTGAAAACATCTCACTTCTGACCCTATGTTGGAGGGAAGTCATTGATGAAGCAGCTGAAGATGGTTGGGCCTGAGACATGACCCAGGGGAACACCTGCAGAGGCATCCTGGAGCTGAGAAGATTGACCTCCAACAACCACAACCATCTTCCTATGTGCCAGATATGACTCCAACCATGGAGAGTTTGCCCCAATACCCATTATTTCCAGTTGTGTTTGGACACCATGATGGCACACTCGGTCGAGCGTGGCCTTGATGTCAAGGATTGTCATTCTCACCTCACCTCTGGAATTCAGCTCTTTTGTCCATGTTTGAACCAAGGCTGTAATGAGGTCAGAAGATGAGTGGCCCTGGTGGAACCTAAACTGGGCGTCACTGAGCAGATTATTGTTGCGCAGGTGCTGCTTGAAGCACTGTTGATGACACGTTCCCATCACTTTACTAATGATCAAGAATAGGCTGATGGAGCGGTATTTCACCGGATTGGATTTGTACTGCTTTATGTGTACAGGATATACCTGGGCAATTTTTCACATTGTCGGGTAAATGCCAGTGTTGTAACTGTACTGGAAGAGCTTGACTAGGGGCAAGCTCTAGAGCGCATGCCTTCAGCACTATTGCCAGAATGTTGGCAGGGCCGTTCACAGTAACCAGTGTCTGAAACCATTTCCTGACATCATGTGGAGTGAATCGAATTGGCTGAAGACTGGTATTAGTGATGCTGGAGGCGACTGGAGGAGGCCGAGATGGATTATCGACTTGGCACTTCTAGATGAAGATTGCTGCGAATGCTTCAGTGTTATGTTAGATTACTGTATTGTTACAATAACATGCATTTTTAGTCTATACAAACCAATTGAAGCAACTAAAACATGTCCATACCCTAATCCACGAATCATAAGCATTTCTTCCTCCTTCCCCATTCTCACGCTGAGGAGGGATCGAATGCGCCCAAGAGAAACCAGCAGACTGACTGTTTCCTGGACAGAGGCTGCACTGATGGTATACGCTTTCCGCATAGCTTGCAGCAGCTCACCAATTGCATCATATTGTCGCCGCAAAAGGCTAAACATGGTTTTAATCAGCTCTGGATCTTGAAGGTATGATTCTTGAGACCAATGCACCATAGTCTGAGAGATAAGTTGCGTCAAATTGGCTAAAAGGGAGAAAAAATTCAGAATAATATCAGACAACAGAAAGGAAATCTGCAGGATTATGAACAAGCGAACAATCAAAATGTTCTCTCAAATGGTTGTAGGATACCACATTTTATTTTAAAAGCTTTTCAAGGAGTTCTGGTACTAATGAACGCATATATTATACTTCCTTAGAACTTGATACGACTGAATCCACTAAGACTCAGGACTTTACCAATGGAAGCAGTCACTCAAGCCAGTACAATGGGGACTAACACCCCATCTACTGATGGAGGTCTAACATTTGCACTTGGATAGCTCCTTCTGTCAAGCAATATTCCTGAAAGCCCTGTGCATGAAAAAGGGGACAAACTAGCCTCAAGTATGAAATTAAAAGAAGAGGTTTAGAAGAGTAAACAAAGGTGTGGTTAAAGAAAAGGTTATGTTTTCACCAGGCTTTTAAAGTTGACAAGAGAATTTAGCTAAATGAAGGGAATTAGGAAGACAACTCCAAACTATCAGAATCTTGATGGTTGAAAGCTTAAGGGATAGTGAGGCTTCTGACGTATAAAAGGTAAACTTCCAGCTCAGTATGCTTTTTTTTACTACAAATATCTTGTTAAGATATTTCAAATAGTTTCTGGAAGTCTGCATAGACAATTGGATGATATTAATATGAACTGCAGTGTCATACAGGTATGAAATGGAAACAAAAAGCATATCATATTTAGTCTCTGCCCTATTTGTGGTCTCAATGATAAATCTTTGCGGTTTTTTTTTTAAGTATCCTTGATAACTAATTCTAGTATTTTCCCAGTCACTAATGTTTAACTGAGAAGTCTGTTGTTATCTGGTTCTACTCTCTTTCCTACTTTGTCCCAATTCTTGGCACACTCCACCTTTGAGAGTTTATGGAAAAAGACACTGAGTTCTCTTTGTGGCTAAATCAAATGAGTCTTAGTAAATATACTGCTATCCAATACATCAACTGATACAGGTCCCTAAACATTACTGCATGACCAATCCAAAGGCATCAGGATTGGTAACTTCTCAACAGCCTTTCTGGAATAACGTTGATCACTTAGTTGCTTAACCCAATGTCCTTATTTTCTTAAAGGATGCCTCCAGGATTAAAAACAAGCAAACTATCAAGAGGTTCTTTCAGATGACTGTAGGATACCACATTATATTTTAAAAACTTTTTGAGGAGTTCTGGTACTAATGATCCCATACATTATATTTCCTTGGCACTTGATACAACTGAATCAGCTAAAACTCAAGAACTTTACCAGTGAAAGCATTCACTCAAGCCATTACAATCTGCAGATGGAGGTCTAACATTTTAGAATATTATGGCTTGTCATGTGAACTGCAAATAGATTCCGCAGGCGAACTGGCAGATAAAGAATAGTGACCAGTTAGACATTGTTGGGTCAAGTTCATGCTTAACTCACTTTCTTACTTTGAGTTTGGACTGCTGTCCAAGGTGTATTGTGCTGTGAAGTGAATGGATGTTGTTCACATGCAAATTTTCTAACGTCTCCCAGACCTAGAACGAATCAGGCAGTGCCTGATTAAAGGATTAATTGTGATTGTGGAAGACACAGAGACAAGGACTGGAGATAATGTTCAGCTGAAATGTGACATGATGATCTGATTTCTTTTTAATATCCTTGTACAAGCATCAACCAACAATGAAAGAAGATTGGAAATCGAGAATTGAAAACACTGTCACCCAAAAGAATTGATTGGATGATCACCGAATTTTAAAAATTTAAACAGCAGAATAAGACCAAACCAACGAACCAACTGACAGATCAATTTGAAATCTTTGCAAAAACTTCCAGGAACATTTTTGGTAAGTGATGATTTTTTTTAAAAAAATGAAAATGTCAGAATAATTAATTGCTTTACATGAAAAACTACTCAAATGTCTTAAGATGAAACTATGAATCAAGAGTTTGGTTAGGGTTTGGCGAGAGTTGACTTTTTAAAGGGAGCAGTTCCTTGATAGTAATTTGTCATGTTACAATAGAGAAATGTCAGCTTCTTTGCTTAATAAACCCTTCAAATTCTGTTGCTCCTGCAAAATTAGCTATCTACCCAGTCTTGAAAATAAAAACACTACAGATTCAGCTGTATAATTCATTAACACAACACCCTGCAGAATCAGCAGTACATACCCAGTCTCAAAGGGTATATTACACACCAACTTCAGTATCACTTGCTATTGATATTGATATTGATGTTAGGGTGGAAATGGAAATTGATGTGAACCACCACAGAATTAGCCATACTGTAGCTGCTGAAGTGAAATCAGCAGGAATTGTAGAGATTGGATCCCAGCATGACTATAGTGTTCTACCATTTACATTCAAAAGTGCACCGCAGAGTGGATTCTGACAATTACATTTAAAAGAAGTAATTTAAGAAGTAGCAGTTTCTCTGAGAGATAATGAATAAAATGTATTTTCTTTGCTGACCGAGGTGAGAAATCACATTTTGCATGCATTGTTACATCATTACATACACAATGTTTCCAAAACTTCTGTGTAATTTGAATGAGTCAGCCATTTCAAATTTTTTTTCTCAAAATCTAAAGAAAACTGAGTACTTCACGCTCAGAGATAGTAGGAACTGCAGATGCTGGAGAATCCGAGACAACAAGGTGCAGGGCTGGATGAACACAGCAGGCCAAGCAGCATCATAGGAGCAGAAAGGCTGACGTTTCGGGCCTAGACCCTTCAGGG